CACAATGATGCCACCCGAAGGCTGCAAGAACAGCACCTCATATTTCGCTTGGGAACCCTGCAGCCCAATGGTCTCAATGTGGACTTCACAAGCTTCAAAATCTCCCCACCCCTGACCTCATCCCAAAACCAGCCCAGCACGTCCCCGCCTCCTTGACCTGTCTGTCTTTTCTCCCATCTATCCGCTCCCGCCACCTCCTACCTACCAGCCTCATGACCTGTCCGTGTTCCCTCAATTGACCAACCCCCATCCCAACTCCCTACCTACATTCACCTTTTACTGGCTCCATCCCCGCCTCCTTGACCTGTCCGTCTTCTCTCCACCTATCTGCTCCTTTATCCACCTTCCATCATCACCTCCCCCCCGACCCCCATCTCTCTATTTATTCCAGAGTCCCCTTCCTCTTTCCCTCCCCGACTTCTGAAGAAGGATCCAGACCCAAAACGTCAGCTTTCCTGCTCCTCTGATGCTGCCTGGCCTGTTGTGTTCATCCAGCTCTACACTATGTAACATCACCCTTTTTTACTTATCCACCATGAGGCACCTTGTCAAAGACTTTACTGAAGTCCATGTAGACAACATCAACCAACCACATTTCCCTCAATCATCTTCGCCACCTCCTCAAAAAATCCAATCAAGTTAGTGAGGCATGACCTCCCCCGCACAAAACCATGCTGTTTATCACTAATTTCCATTTGCTTCCAAATGCTATAGACCTTGTCCCTGAGAATCTTTTCCAGTAATTTCCCTACCACCAATGTTGGACTCACAGGCCTGTAATTTCCAGGATTATCCTTTCTTAAACAGTAGGACAACATTAGCTATTCTTCAGTCCTCTGGGACCTCACCTGTGGCCAAAGAGGATACAAAGATGTCTGTCAATACTCCAGCAATTTGTTCTCTTGCCTCCCTCAATATTCTGGGATAGATCCAATCAGGACCCAGGGACTTATCTACCTTAATACTTTATAAGACGCACAACACCTCTTCCTTTCTAATAGCGACTTGGTTTAGAAACCCGACATTCCCTTCCCTGAGATCATCCTCCACTAAATTCCTTCTCTGGTCAATACTGACATAGTATTCATTTAGGACCTCACCTACCTTTTCTGACTTCACGCATAGATTCCTTCCTTTGTCCTTAAGTGGGCCAACCCTTTCCCTGGCTACCCTCATGCTTTTTTATATATGTATGACAAGCCATGGGGATTCTGCTTAATCCTGTTTGCTAACAGCTTTTCATGACCCCTTTTAGCCCTGATGCCTTGTTTAAGTTCTTTCCCACGTTCCTTATATACTTCAAGGGCTTCATCAGTTCCCATCCTCCTAGACCTTACGTATGCTTCCTTTGACTTTCTGACAAAAGTCATAACATCCCTTGTCATCAAAGGTTCACGTAACTTGCCATACCTATCCTTCATTCTCGCAGGAATGTGCTACTTGTGAACTCTTATCAACTCCCTTTTGAAACAGTCCCCCATGTCCGATGTAGATTTACCCTCGAACAGCCGCCTCCAATCACAATTCTCCAGTTCCTGCCTAATATTGTTATAGTTCACCTTCCCCCAATTTAACACTTTCACCCGAGGACTGCTGCTTTCCCTATCCATGAGTTCTTAAAACTCTCTGCATCGTGGTCACCACTACACCCAAAATGCTCCCCCACTGAAACTTCACTCACATGGCTGGGCTCATTTCCAGAAACTAGGTCCAGTATAACCCCTTTCTCTAGTTGGACTGTTTACATACTGTGTCAAGAAACCTTCCTGAATGGTCCTTACAAATTTTACTCCATCCAAGCCCCAGCACGAAGTGAGTTCCAGTCAACATAGGGGAGGTTAAAGTCATCCATCACAACAATCCTGCTGTTTTTACATCTTTCTTAAATCTTTCTGTATGTTCTCTCCTCTATCTCCTGCTGCTGTTGGGAGGCCTGTAGTATACGCCCAGCATTGTGATTTCACCTTTCCTATTCCTGAGTTCTACCCATATTGCCTCACTGCACTCTGATGTATCCTCCCTCAGTACAGTTGTGAGAGACTCACCTATGTGATGGGCAACCTATCTTTGATAGGCTTTCTACATGTATGAGTGCAATTACTCAGGTCTGTGACAAACTGCAACTTAAAACTAATCCAAGGGTTGTTGCTAGGCAGCTTTTCAACTCAAAGGCTCACAAAAGTATCAAATCCAGTTTTTACAAAGGTTACATGACCTTTTAAATTGCAAAAACACACACTAGGCACATTCTATGCAACATGGCAGTGTCTAAACTTCCATTCTTCCCAGTTTATAATTGTATAGTCTTTACAGGTAGTGTAGTTGGAAGCATAAAATTAAAATGATGTAGTGATAGAATACTTTACTGAGCAAAACTGTAGTGAACGAACTTTAATGGAGGAAGCTGTGTTATCAGCTTGTACCCAAAAAGAATAGAACAGGATTCTAAGTAGTGAAAAGTTAGAAATATTTGAAGCTCTAAGAGATTAAAATGGCACAAACAGGTAGAGAAAATGATCAAAAATGCTATTGCAATGCTGTTTTTTATATCCAGTGAATAGAATGTAAGGAGACAGAAGCCATGCTTCAGCAAACCCCATTACAAACCCATCTCAATGAATCTTAGACATGACCTGTTGAACTCTTCTTCTATTGCCATCATGCCAACTTCTCTGGGGAGGTGTCCTCTCCCTGCTCCGTGGTCCCTTTCATCTGATCCAGACAATCGCAGTATGGAAGTCAGAGATGGACCACGTGAATGTGAGGGAAGGATGGAAATTGGAAGCAAAATGGATTAATTTTCCAGTTCCAGACAAGAGCAGGAAGCAGCACTGATAATATTCTCAATATACTGGAGAAGAGCTGTGGGAAGGCTTCCTGAGTAGTACTGGAACAAGGAATGTTTAACATACTCCACAGAGAAATTGGCATAGCTGGGACCATGTGGATACTTATAGTCACACCTTTAAATTGAAGAAATTGGGATGAGGTAAAGGAGAAATTGATTAAAGCAAGAACCAGCTCAGCCAGGCAAAGGTGGCTGGTGGTAAACAGGGATTTTCAGGCCTCCTTTCATGAAGGAACAGACAACCTTCAGGCTATCCTGCTGGGGAAACGATGTGTAGAGGGATTTCACATCCAGCTTGGGGCCAGAAAACTGAAAATGGCACTGAAATAAAGCATCAGACAAATTACGGATGTAAGTTAGAAGAGACTGGGGGAGGGAAGAAAGAAACAGAGTCAAGATAGGAAGAAATAAGATTTGGGTGGGGCAGGAACAGGCTAAGACAGAAGAGCAGAAATAGGCCACTCGGCCCATCACATCTGCTCCTCCATTGCTTGAGAATATGGCTGATCTGATCATTCTCAGCTTCACTTTCCTGCCTTTTTCCCCATAACCATTGATTATCTTCCAGATTAAAAATTTGCCTATGTTGGCCTTGAATATACTTAATTACCCAGCCTTAAATGCCATTTTGTAGTAAAGAATTCTAAACATTTACATCCCTCTAACAGAAAAGAAAATACTTATCTGTCTTCACTGTGCAACCCCTTATTCTAAGGTTATACTCTGGTCCTTGGCTCTCCCACAAAATAAAACAACCTTTCTTCTTCTACCCGGTCAAGTCCCATAAGAATTTTGTATGTCTTAATATGGTTGCCTCTTTTTTTTATATTCGAACAAGTACAGGCCCAACCCACCTAACCTCTCCCTATAAGAGAGTTCCTCCATACCTGGTATTAGTGTAGTGAACCTTCTGTGGACTGTCTCCATAGCCAGTATGTCTTTCCTTGGATAAAGGGCTCCAATTGTTCACAATATTCCAGCTGTAGTCTGACTAATGCCTTGTACAGTGTGAGCAAAACGTTGCACCTTTTATACTCCATTTTATTTGCCTTCCCTATTACTTGCTGAACCTGGATACCTGCTTTTTGTGATTTGTGGATGAGGGCTCCCAAATGCCTCTGTCCTTAAGCTTCCTGCAGTCCTCCTTCATTTAAATAATATTCAGCTCCCCTAGTCTTCCTGTCAAAGTGCTTAACCTGACACTTGAAACATTCAGTCTACCAGGTTGGTCTGGTTTGTGGATTTTAGGAAGCAGGGAGAGGGATTGTGCAGGGTTGAGGGACTATGAGGCAGGAAGCTGTGTAGGGAAAATTTCCAGAGTATATGAGGTGAATGACAACCCTGCTTGATGTTTATTGGTGGGACCACGGCCCGGGGGCGATACGAAGTATCTGCGAACTGTTGCTGAGCCTTTGCAAAGTGGAGAGGTCTGCATGCCAGATAACTAGAGAACTACATTAATAACAAAATCAGGGTTAAATCATTACTGTTCCATTTGCTCCTCTTCCTCTGAAACTGGTGTAGAGTGTACAGTTTCAGTCTCCATATTTTGTTGGCATTGAAGGCTGTTCAAAAGAGATTCACGTGTTTATCGGACTGATTTATCAAAAACAGCTAAATAGATAAGGCCTTTATTCATTAAAGCTTAGAAGAATTAAGGATGATCTTATTGAAACACACAAGATTTGGAGGGTGCTTCAGATATTGTAGATGTTGAGAAGATGTTTCTATTGGTGGGGCAATCTCAAACTAGGGGACATAGTTGCAGAATAAGGGAACGCTAATTTAAACTGAGATGTGAAAGATTTTTTAAGAGGGTAGTGAACGTCTGGAATGCTCTACCCCCAGGAGTTATGGAAGCTGGATCACTGAAAGTATTTAAAGAGGAGGTTATAGAAAATTGAAATATTGAAGGGTTGAGGGTTATGAAAAGCTGGCAACGAAAGAGTTGATCTGTCCCAGGCTCCTATGATCTCAGAATGGTGGGGCAGGCTCGAGGGGACAAATATTCCACTCGAGCCAAGTCTGTTGTTCTCAATAGAGTTAAATGAGTAAAATTTATTATTATATATTCAAAACTGGTTTAAGCCAGAAAATTGTTCTAAGTACATTCAAGTGCTTGACAAAATTCTTTAATCTATTAAATTGACAGGATGAAAGAAGATTTCACCAATTAGCCATGGCCAACAGTGAAAGCAGCATCAATAGAAGTCTATATGGTGGAACCTTCACACCCACCTTGAAGGTAAAATAGTCTTCATGTGTTAAAACAGCTGAAAGTTATGAATTATCCAGCTGCTATGATCCCAGCAAGAAATCTGGCTTGATAAACCATTTTTTTTTTTTTTTTTAAAATGAACATGGCTGTCTTTCACTGAAATTACAGCACACATAGAAACATAGGAATTAGTAGGAGTATGCAGTTCGGCCCTCTGATTCGTCCTCTCAGTGCCATTTTCCCATCATACCCCTTACATGTTCAGATACTGAAGACATTATCAATCTCTTTCTTGAATATGCTCAATGACCAGGTTTGCACAACCTTCTGTGGTAGTGAATTCCACAGGTTGACCACCCTCTGAGTGAAGAAATACTTTCTCATTCGGTCCTGAATGGCCTATCCTCTCTGCATCCAGCCTGTCCATCCCTGTTAGAATCATATATGTCATTATCTAAACTCTAGTGAATATAGGCCCAATCGAACCCAATCGCTCCTCATGAGGTAGTCCTGTCGCCCTCGGTATCAGCCTACTGAACCTTTGCCGCACTTCCTCTAGCTAGAACTAAAACTGCACAAAATACTCCAGGTGTGGTCTTACCAAGGACCTGTGTAACAGCAGTAAGACATCTCTACTTATGAACTCAAATCTTCTTGCAATGAAGACCAATATACCATTTGCCTTCCTAATTGCTTGTTGCACCTGCCGGTTTACTTTCACTGACTGGTGTACAAGTACATCCAGATCCCTTTATATATTCACATTTCCCAATATATGTTGTCACTTAAATAATATCTACCTTTGTTTTTTCACTCCAAAGTGTACAGCTTCACATTCAACTACATTATATTGTATCTGCCACGTGTTTGTCCAGACACTTAGCTTGTCCAGGTCACCTTGCATTCTCCTTTCCACTCTCCATCACACACAGTTTTATTTTTCAGCAAACTTGCAAAGTCACTCTGTAGCAAATTGTAGATAAACAGCTGGGAGATATTTGAAATATTTCCTCCAATCTGTTGCAGAATTTTAAAACCTGCAGAAGGGTATGATTTTCTTCCTCCTCCCACCCTCAGGATAATGTTTGAGTCTATAAATGACCTGGCCTCAGACAATGAACTTTGTCAGCGATTTACATATCAAATGCTACACAGTGAAAAAGTGAAAGATTTTAGCCAATTAGTACAAGGGCAATTGTAGGAATGGATAATAAATGCAGCAATGCCCACATCATGTCAACAAAAGAAAATAAACTCTGTACCTATGAGACTCCACACTGTGTATTATGGCACAGATTCCAGACTTCACAAGCACTAAACCTTTAAGACTGTTATGTGACATCATGACATGCGGCAATCTGGTATAAAAGGTACCCACGTCCTCTTTATTCACTTTTTCTGTGTAACTGATTTAGTGTCGTTTGTCAGCCATGTGTCAATGTATTATAACAGTGTGGTGTACAGCAACATCAGTATGTACAGAAACCACACTGTGCAGGTGTGTGATATCGTAGCCTAGTAAATACCTAACACAACTATTGATGGCTTATGTTATACGGACTAACATACAAGATAAACTATAAAACATCATCAACCAGATTCAGATCAATTGGAATTGTTCATCTTCTGAACCTGAGAGGCTGATTACCAGTCATTAAGAAGGGTAATCATTTGTATAAAAAGCAGAAATTGCCGGCAAAACTCAGCCGGTCTGGCAGCAGGACATGAGGAGTCACCAGACTTAAAACATTTACTCTGCTTTCTCCCCAGACCTGCAGAGTTTCACGAGCAATTTCTGTTTTTATTTGATCTTCAGCATCTCCAGTTGTTTGTTTTATTTTTGTTGTCTTGTGTTCCTAATTACTTGGTTTAACTTTTAGGGCTATCTTTAATTGGCAATTACAGCTATCCCTCATTTAGCACTCCTAAAACACAACGTGCTAAATGAAAAATGTACTAGAGATTATTTATCCGTAAGTAAACATGTAACAAGGGTGGCTTAAATTCCTGACCGATAACTTGTACATTCAAAACCCATCAGCTAGTGTTGAACCTAACGTCTCAAAAATCTCTTTCCACGCATTTAATGCTCTTAGCTCCACGTCCCTGCTTGCTGTCCCTCTCCAATCACTTTGCTACATTCCTTTCTCTACCCCTGTCTAGATTGGGGGAGGGGCAGTGAGTGAATGGGAAGCAGCAAGGAGTTTATCTGATTAAGGAAGCGGTGAACAGGAGGGTGAAGACAGAGAGAGGTTAGGAAATGTTTGAAAAAAACACAATGCATTTATAATTACAGTACGATTCTTGACAAATACACAAGGATGTAATGGCGCTGAACTGAAAATGAATGTCAAGGTCAGCACCATTATTTTTGGATAAGTTCTCCAAATCAAGACTAAAGAATGCACTTTAAAAGGGGGGGTATTTATGACATACAAAGGCTGCAACTTGGTGAAGAATGTTCAGCATAAGACTACAATTCCACAATTCATGGAATGTCTCTCCATTGCCACAATTTACTCGATTCACGGATTGGTAATGTAATTCAGACAATCAAATTTTTCAACAAAAGACCTGGGCCATTATAGTACTTCCCTGCAAGTAGTAACTGATACAATTTAATGTATTCTCTTTTTTATTTTATGATCGTTAACTTCAGAAGAAGAGAACGGAAGACTTACCAGTCCGGGTGGTCAGTGTTCCCAACCTGAGTTCATATGAGAAAAGTTTTCTAAGCTCAGACTTAAGTCCAACCAATAGGTTTCCTCTAATGACGAAATCTCCGAGCCTGGACCAAAGCCTCAGCAGCACATCAAGGTTATTGAATCAGCCTGCACAAGTCCAGCCATCTAAACAAGCCCCAAGGTATTAATGTACTCATTTATATTGAAGCTTTTATTTTAAATCTTAAATCTCATTGATAGCTTCCAGTAATTTTTTTTTTGAATTGGGTACAATAGTACATCAAGTTTTAGGCTGATGTGTTTATACTTGAATAGGGCAGAGGATTGGGAATAAAGTCATGGGAATTAGAGATACTAGTTAGTGGATATGACTTTGTGGAATTTGACATGAACTAATGACATGAGTGAAGCCATAGATTGTGGTTTTTAAATTGACAGTTGGGCTTGAGCAGAATCTTGCTGCCAATCATGCAAAGATTACTGCCAGTACAATTTGATGCTTGGAGCCATAGCAGTGTAATTACTTCCTGGATCTCTCTCTCGGCTGAACGAGATGTCATGCGTTTCTACTGAGCCCCAATCACCTGATCAGACAGATGGAAAATGTCTTGCAGACATTTTGAACATAGATTTATAGATATGCTTAAACATCTACTTTACTTTAATATTGTTATATACCTTTCATTTTGCTTATTTTCAGAAGTAATTCCTCAACTTTTGAAAACAAATCCCTTGTAATTATTTCAGTAGCTGCCTCTTTGCTTCTTGCAATTAATAGTGTTTGCCGATTGACAATGCTTGATTGAAAGATTTCTTCATTTTTCTTTTCTGTTTGCTATTTATCTGTACATGCAACAAAAGTTTAATTGCAATTTGTTAATACTACATGGACACAAAATACTTCACTAATCAATAAAGCACTCTCTTGTATTGACATCCTGCTGCCCACTTCAGACAAGCTGAAATCCAGTATAAACGAAAGAGAGAAGACTAGCTTCGGGGAAAAGCTCCAGAGCAGCTACTCATCTAGCAGAAATGACACAGCATCTAATCAAGAATGTAGAAAATTGCCCTGTCTGTCCTAGCTACAACAAAATAGCTTAAATTTAAACTAGCTAGTTACCTACGATCAGCAGTAAAATGATGTGGAGAGTAATCAGAGGTGGAATTAAATGGCAGCTATTCAATGACTCATTGCACGACATAATTGCAGACCTCAACGCAGCCTCAGTAACTTTTTCTGGAGTGGGGTGTGGGGTGGGGTGGGGTGGGGTCGGGTGGGGAATGAACTGCTTAACTTCCTGGAAGAAAATGTCACATCCAATTGACCTAATTTTGAAAGGCCCATGTCTCAGTAATGACCTGCTTAGGGAATGTTAAACAGACGGAGGGTCAGACTTCCTCTCCTCAGTGGACAGGGGATAAAGGGGATGTATTATAATATCAAGAACGTGGAGAAACAGTATAAAAGGTATGACTCTTAAAAAATGCATAGGAGCAGAAAGACCTGGGGTGTATGTGTGCAAATCATTTAACAGTGACTGGACAGGTGGAGTACATAGTTAATAAAGCATATGGTCTTCTAAGTTCTATTAGTAAATGTAAAGATTACAAGAGCAGGATGGTTATGCTGAACCTGTAAAAGATACTGCTTAGACCTCAGCTGGAATATTGTATAGAGTACTGGGTGTATACTAAAGGGAGGATGTAAATACATTGGACACAATACAGAAGAGGTTTACAAGAACGGTTCCAGGGATGGGAAACTTCAGTAATGATAGAATGAGAAATTGGAGAGGAGAAAGCCTAAGTGGATATTTAATTGAAACAGTGGATAGGGAGCAACTATTCCACCCTATAACTAGATCAATAAACGAGAGGGCACAGTTCAAAGCAATTTGAAAAAGAAGCAAAATGTGGTGCAAGAAGTAGCATTCTCATGCTACTTTTTGAGTCTCAAGTGCCCTGCCTGGAAGCATGGTGGAGGCAAGTTTAATTGTAGTATTCAAGATAACATCAGTTTACTGTTTAAATAGTAAAAATATGAAGGATTATGGGGAAAGGGTGGGAGAACAGCTAAGTCATTATGCTTATTCAGAACGCTAGTGCAGACACAATAGGCCAAATAGCCTCCTTCTGCACAGGAACAATTTTGTGATTGTGAAATCCCATCCTCAATCTGATTGTCATGGGTGCTGCCAGCACTGCAAGGAGGAATGTAGAGATCCTGGGTATCCAGACTTGGGAAAGTTCTGGACTTTTAGCCTGGGAAGTGATCGGGCATCCTCAGGAGAGGCTTAATGGAGTTGGTTTTAGAGGAGAAGCAATGTGGGGTAACACCTTTGGATAGGGCATTATGCACAGGGCACTGTTGGATAAGGGTACACTGGTCTGAATGGGTTAGTACTGAGCAGTACCTTTAGCAGCACCACATATTATGATGACAGCAGGTGGACCTGGTGGGAGAGTAGCTCAGAACCTTTACAGAATAAGACCCACCCTCCAGATACTCCAGAGTCTCTAACATGGGAGGAGTTTTCTCGGGGTCTGAGCAATATGGGCTCTGGTGAGATTTGTGGTAGAATCAGATGAGAAGTCTGGGGAGGTCTACCTTGAAGTCAAGAGCATTTTGTTCCATCTTTTATACTTTAGCTAAGTAGCAAGGTGGGTTTCTCACCAGACAGCAGTAGATTACCAGTTAAAGAGGATTATTGATTTTGGTGGCCCAGCTCACCTCATTAATATTCAGCTTCCTATCTTACCAAATAAGCCAGAAGGAAAGCTCACCATGAAAGTCAGAGTGAAGACATCAGGTCACCCCTTGCTGTAACTAGCCTCCATGTTGCTCAGCAGCAAGCAGCATCTCAGGACTTGATCCATGGGCACCAGCCCCCTCACCCACTGACACTGGCATCTGACATTTGCCAACCCCATCATTCCACCCCGTCGATCTTCTTGCAGGCCACTTAAAAAAGGAAAAGCTGTATTGTCGGGCACACCAGCAACTAGCATTTAAAGGCTGTTGATGTAGCTCATGGATTGGACCAGGCTGCATCTCAGATCGGCTCATGGGCTTTTTTTAATGTTCACCCACATAGCATTCTGCCTTGTCATGCCAAGTAGTGCAGTGACACAACCAGGCAGTTTGCCTTGCTGGTGAGCAGTCAAGGGGCTGTACATCTTGCTGTACAGCAGTGTGCTGCTTCAATCTCACACCTACACCAAGTGCCAGCAGCTTATGCAGTAAACACACTGTGTATGCAGCAAGCAGATAGCTGTGCCTCAGTCTTAGGGGAGTAATTCTCAAAGTCTACGGAGGTACGCATTGTTCAGGTGTTCCCTGCATAGTAGGGCAACAGCAGCCTCCAATATAAGTCCAGGGGATTGACGACAGTCCGGCAACTAGTCAAGGTAATTTTACTCAGGGGTCTGTGCTTCTGCATGCCAGAGAGTGGGTCATCATCAATCCCATGGTTCCATAGCAACCAATCCAGGGGTTAGGATTAATCTGATCGGGAGGATGTACAGCTATCAGACAGGGTTCTAGACACCTCTTGTCCAGGTCTATCCAGTTATGTTGTTTGAGGGTTGAAGGGCTACATGGGGACCACTGTAGGAAGGAGAATTGGGAACCTATTCTTCATGATTAGGGACTGCAAGCTATGAAGAAGGAGAGATGATAATTGTGAAGGTGGGGGGTGGGGGCAACTGTCTTTGTAAGAGGGGATATGATAAAGCATGCGTGGATGGGGGTCATGCAGGAGAGGGTTCATCCTGTCAGGAGCACACTGGCTTCAAGATGGACGGGACATTGCATCACCACAGTAGGCATGGTCACTGCATATGGCAGTGGCTGTTATTGGGAAGGTGCAGGCACATGTAGACAACTCATGGGGACCCGGGGAGATGTGGTAGCCATGGAGTTCATGGGAAGGCTTGCACGGGAAGGGGATCTGGATGTTTGGGGCCTCACCAGCATGTTCAGGTTGAGACTGGAACACTAGCCAACAGAATGCTCACACTGACCTGCATCGTGCTGGAAATTGAAAGTGCCCAATGGAGAAGAAAATGACTGCAAGAACAGCTGGATACACCTGTAAGATAAGAGAGAAAATGTCTCATGGCCAGTGGTTAGAAGTGACGTACGAATTAAATTGACAGTATGGTTAATGTGAGAACCGTAGTGGAATGAAGAGTGGTATTTACTCGATTGGCAGGATGTTGATGCTTCAGTATTCCCCTAGGAGCGGCCCTAGCCTTCTCCTGCAAAAGCCACAATTCTCCTCTTTTAGAGAGTGAGAGGTTTGATGTAAAGCATCCTACAACCCTATGGGCTTATTCAGCCTTATTGTGGACTGTGTTCTCCTGTAACAAAAGTAAGAGGAACTGAATGGGGCAAAAGTGGGTGGTATGGCAGTTTGTTCTGGTGCAGGTGGGTTGAAAGGTGGTGAGTGCCCCCAAGTGAATGAGGGAGTAGGGGGCTATGAAGGGTGGGTGGTGTGGCAGGTTATTGGACGAACAAGAGCAACTGAAGGAAGATGTTGCAGGCTAAGCGTGAACCTTGGTGGGAATTGGTACACTATAGCAGGGATAAGATGTGTGTGGGATACCAGAATCGAGCACTTACCTTGGTGGAACGGAGATCATTGTTTTCTTAGGGCTCTGCTGGCAGTTACTCCATACCGTGGAGACTGCAGTAACCTGGGTAGTAACATCAGATCAACTACCTGGGTCTGATGTTATGCCCTCCTCTTTCAGTCCTCCAGGAAAAGACTCCACTTCTTTGCATCATCCCATCAACCAAGACCTCCAGGGCCCTATCAGAGAATCATGTGCCGTCTTCCCCTTGTCCAACATCCTCGTTACATCTGTCCTCTGATAAGCAAGACAGATTTGGAATGCTAGTGCTTGTTCAGGTGGGCACAGCAACCCCTTAAAGATGACACAGGTACGAGGGATGCTGGTCTTTTGGCTAATATCCACTGAGTGGCGCAATGTAAGATGGGGCTAGAATTGGACAAGGGGACACCATTGAAGCAGAGTAGGTAGATGTGGTAGGTTTGGAAGATGCAGCAAGAAATTCCATCAGGCCTCATGGTGAGAATCCTTCCAAAAACAATTCAACACACTTCGCCAAAATCAAAATGCAAGATTCAGTCCAAAGTTATCATACTTAATTTATTGCATGTAAGCATGCAACTACAATTAAAAAAAAAAGACCTGCAAGATGCTGGAAATCGGAAATAAAAGCAGAAATAGCTGGAGAATCTCAGCAGTTTTGGCAGCATCTGTGGAGAGAAAACAGTTAACATTGAGTCTAGCGACCCTTCTTCAGCACAGACCAGTCTAAGCTAGAGTTGAGAATAACATCAGGCTTACAGGTGTCAGGTAATATTATATGTGCCTGATAATAGACACATGAAAAAGGGGAAAATCCAGCCATTTTCTTATGATCTTCATGACTGAGGTTCCCATCATCAACATTTTTTTTTGGTGGAGGTGCAGCAAGTTCATCATTGACCAGAAATAGAACTGCACCAGCCATATGAACGCTGGTTATGAAGACAGAAACCGGGTACTCAAGGAGGTGGCTCACATCCTGACCCCCTTAAAGCTTCAGTCACCTGCAAGACTGAAGTTAGCAACGCGATAGGATACACACTATTCATCTGGATGAATGCAACCTCAACATTTTACAAACTCAATAGAGGACAGAAAAAAAAAAAGTCCCAATATTAACATTATACTTTGGCTGTGGTATGTAAATCTCAAGGATACACTGCTGCAACTGATCAAGGTTATTTTGTAAAAGTCTTCTAATCTCAATTACGGAACAGGACAAGAGCCAAAATACTGTTCATCTCCAGCATCCCCACCAAGTCACTTAACTCATTGACATGGGACATTTGTAACTGTTTTATTTTTGTTAGGTGAGGAACTTCAGAATAATAATGTGAAACCTTTCATAGAAGCATTAGCAAGAACAATAAGAATTCTGTGAGAAAGCCACCCTACCACCCTCAAGATAATTAAGGATGAACAATAAATACAGTCTTTTCAGTACCTATATCCAGAGAATTTTAAAAGCGTGATTGGAGAAATTAATATGAATTACTGTGATGCCAAAGTGTGGATATTGAACAATTACAAGAAACTAATGGAGAGACTCATTCTGCTTGATTTTTAAAAAAAAATTAATTCATGGGAATGTTGGTGCCACTGGCTAAGCCAGTATGTATTGCCCAGAGATCAGTTAAGAATCAACCACATTGCTATGGTTCTGGAGTCACAAATAGGCCAGACCAGGTGAGGATGGCACTTTCTTTCCCTAAAGGACATTAGTGAAGCTGATGTAATTTTTTTAAACAATGATTTCATGGTCATCATTCAACTCTTAATTCCAGATTTTTATTGAATTCAAATTCCACCATCTTCCAAGACAGGTGTCCATCTCAGGTCCCCAGAACATTCCCTGGGTCTCTGCATTAATAGTCTAGCGATAAAACTACTAGGCTATAACTTCCCTTTCAGGAGCCACAGGAATCTAAACCAATAGCAAAGGTTTTTTTTTCAAATGAGAGCAAAATTTTTTGTGCTGTAAATTGGATTTATTGTTAGAAATAATTTAATCAGGTCTTGCTGCCTAGCAATTTATATCAAATGGAAATATCAGATTAACCTTAGAATATCATTATTGAAACTGATTTATTGCAATTTTAAACAGAGAATACTGTTAAACGGTCTGTGCTTCCACTTAGTTTTCTAATTCCACCTTTTTAAGAGAATACACGCCAGAAAAGAAACAGATTCAATGCTGCTAGTATTTTAAAAGTCTTGTAAGATGTTAAGTCCTCAAAAGCATATTATAATTATCTTATGATGTTACATATAAAGATTAAGTATGTAGCATCAGATCAATCACCAAATAATGCAAATTAACTTTTTTCTGTTCCCATTACAGCATTTCAAATGAGAAAGGCAAGAATAAAGAAACTAAAGGAAAAGATCTTCAGCGACAGGAATGGTTCACAAAGTATTTTTCATTCTAGGAATGAGCTACATGTGTATTTATTCCCATTCTGCCAGTTATTTTCCTTTTAAATGTTCTTCTCAACTAACATTTTCCAGATTCCAACTGAGATTGTAGAGGCAGAATGCTTGTAAGGATATGCCAGTGTTGTTCTGAACAACTTACAAGAAATTACATGAAGTGGGGATTGACTCATTTTTACTCTCTTATGAGGAAGTGTGTCTCTGCTCAGCATATCCCCAGATCAACTGACTGAAGGAGGGCATGTGTCTTTTGGCAATTGTATGTAAAATACCATGTTTCAAAACTCTGGTGTAAACATTAGCATGCTGTCCCACTAGAGCTTTTATATCAAAAAGAACTGTTTCTTGCATGCTGTTTTACCATTAATTTTAAAATAGCTTTGGGAGACTTATTACTGTTGTCATCAACTTCCCTATGATCCAAGGACATCTATTCAGGGTGGTGGAGTTTCTGCCATTCGTCTCCATGTGACTAAATAAACAGATTCTTAGCTCATCAATCTTTGGTTACATAGGGAGGATGTCCCACTGGTGGTGGGGTCTGGAATGCAGAATTTGCTTCCTTTTCTTGCCTACTCTGTCAATGTTCTGCTTTAACATTTTACATATTATGACTCAAATCTTCATATAGCCAGTTAGAGGAGTTGCCATCATTCTGAATAGTTGCTAATAGGTTGTTCTTGACCATTAATGTCAATGCTACCAGGATTCAGGACAGAAACCTCCAGTGTCCGGATGGCAGACAACTATCTTCCCTGCTATGTCATTTTTAAAAAAAACTCTTAAATGGCCAATATTCAATGAGAGAACAAAGAAAATGCTTCACAGATTCTCAAGAACTGATGTGTAGAACATTATATTAGTATAATGTTTAACAACTATAATTTCAGTAACTTTGAGGAGTTGATATTATGAAGCAAAATGGATTCATGAATAGCCAATTCAAATCCCAAAAAAAAATGCATGAGTTATAATGCCTTTTCCACCAAAGACATGTTAAGCTTGAAAATGGAAGACTACCTCCAAAGTAATTGAAGAGGTAGCTACAAAAATTAACTTTGCCAAGAGTACTGAAACAGCCCAGTTAACCATACTATTACTAAAGTCATTCAGCATTGTATATATCAGAATTTTAAGAGAGTACATTTGTTCTAAAAATGAGGACAAGAGTTTATTGTGGATAGAATAAGGCAGAGTGTCCAGGAATTAAGTAATACATAACTCAGCGTGAGCATATAGTTTTACCTATAGAAACCACTAATAGGTAGTTTACAGCCATTTTACAGCATGCATTCATTTGGACATTAACATTCACTGTGTTGAATTGAACAAAACATGTAAAATCATGCTGTTAAGATAAGCATCAAGATCTTTCTTTCATTAGAAGATAATACCAATTGTAAGGACAGAATATGGTTGAAGAATTTACCTGTGTGAGGAGATAATAACAATGTATACTTCAGGAATTCAGGAAAAACAAGTGGTTAAGGACAATCTCAACTAAGACTTAATTTTCTGGGCATTCAGTGTTAAGATCAAACGTGGTCTGTTTCCTAGGTACAATGCATGCTACCCGCACTTTTGTGCTGGTTGATGACTGCTCATCATCAACAGCATTCATCCCAACCGGGAGCACAATAATAGGTCTTCTCCTGCTAACTTTATCTCTGTTAGTGCAATATTGCTGTGTTGTACCCAGAGAGCCTGGTGCTATTTGTACAGTTTGTAAATGTAATTTAATTCTCACTGTAAATATTAAAATAAATAACATTTTCTTTTGGGAAGAGTCAAGTAAAGACTAAGACATGACAACACAAATACCAGAAATGAATTGGGTATATACAGATCAATACCAAGCACATCCCAAAACAATCGATGTAATTATTATTTTGATGATTCCATTACAAAGAATATTTGTTAGCCAAGTGTAATCTTAAGAAAATATAATTTATTCCTTGGAAGCACAACATAAACTCTCAATACCATTAACCTTATGAAACAATGATTTATATAATAACAAATTCCAGACTTAGTCTATGTAAATGGTTTGTGAATCAAAAGGTCCTTTCTTGTTCTGTGCTTTTAATATAAATTTGTTCCTACCGTTCCCTTATACAACAGGGCAGCTGCAATTGAGAACTGAGAGAGGAGAAAGCAGAGCATCCAGGTACCAAGATCAGGGATAAAACACAATGTGTAAAATAGAGAATACTGCTAATTATGAATCTTTTAAAAATTAAGCAGAATTATTCATTTTAAAACTATATATAAAGGTATAGTTCAATATTCAATGATCAGGTTCTTGCCTTCTGGCCATGACAATTAGCTCTTATTCCAATGCCCAGTCAAGTCAAACTTCAACTTTTTTAGTTAGCAGCATTTTAAAAGAAAAGTCCAATTCAACCAAATGTATCAGCAGAAGACCAAGTAAACTTTCAGTCAATTGGAAAATTGGAAAGAAAGCACTCCAGTGGCTGGGAGTCATATCCGGCATATAAAAAAAGATAGTTGTGGTCATTTGAAGCCAGTTATTTCAGCCCCAAGCTATCATTTCTAATTTTCAGATCTTAACCACAGATTTAAATTGACGGTGTGTTCATTACAGTATCAACTATACTTTTTCTTATATGGTTCCTGAACAAATGCAGCCTTAAGCTAGAGATACTACATTCATTTAAGTAATTCATCACCAGTACTTTCACCCTTACACTCCCAGTCCCCAAACCTCAGTAAACTGATCTGCAGCAATCTTGGGAAAGAGTTAACCTACGTTCAGAGGAGTGGCTCCTCACCCTTTCCTTTTTGATTCATGGGGATGATTTTTTCCCCCAGTTGGTGATCCTTGTGGGTGAATTTGAGTATCTGGTCACCACAGCCATGTATTTTGATTGTTGTCTGTTTTCAACTGCTTCATAGAAACGTAGGAACAGAAGTATGCACGTGACCCCTTGAGCCTAATCGGCTTTTCAATGGCTAATCATTGAGCTCAACACCTTAATCCTGTCCCCCTGACCCCCTATATTCCTTGAAGCCTTTAGGCACAAGAGCTAAAATTGACCTCCTCCTTGAAAATGCAATGTTTTGCTCTACCACACGAAGTGGTTGAGTGAATTCCACAGGCTCAGCACTTTCTGGATGAAGAAATTTCCTTATCTCCGTACTAAAAAGTTTACCCCTTATGCTTAAACCATGACTTCTGGTTCTGGACATCCCCCCTCCTCCCAAAATTGGGAACATCCTTCTTGCATCCAACCTGTCAGAATTTCATAGGTTTCTTGGATAAGACCAAAACTACACACAATATTACAAGTGTGGCCTTACCAATGCCCTGTTTCATTGCAGCAAGACGTCCTAGTTCCTGTACTTAAATCCATACAGTATGAAGGCTAACATACAGTTTGCCTTCTTTACTGCCTGCTGCACCTGCACGCTTACTTTCAGCGACTAGTGCACGAGGATGCCCAGGTTTCATTGAACATTCCCCTCGCTCAATTTACAGCTGTTCAAATAATCTGCCTTGCTGTTTTTGCTACCAAAGTGGATAACCTCACATTTTCCATATTATACTGCATCTGTCATGCATTTTTCCCCTCACAATCTGTTCCAATCACACTGCAACATTGCCGCATCTTCCTCATAACTCACTCACCCTTCCACCCAGCTTTGTGTCATTTGCAAATTTTGAGATATCGCATTTAGTTCCCTATTCCAAATCATGAACATATATTGTGAATAGCTGGGGTGCTAGTATCAATCTCTGCATTACCCCATTAATCATTGCCTGGTATTCTTGGAAAAATGGGTCTTTTTCCTACTCTGTTTCCTGTCTGCGAACCAATTTTTCAATTCATCTCAATACACTACACCCAATCCCATGCGCTTCATTTTACACATTAATCTCTTCAATGGGACTTTGTCAAGAGCCTTCCAAATCCAAGTCCAAATAAACCACACTCATTGGGTCCCCTGATCAATTCTACTAGTTGCGTCCTCTAAGTATTCCAGTAGATTTGTCATGGATAATTTCCCTTTTCTAAATCCATGCTGACATTCAATTGCCTTCTTTCCACATTAAGGTAAGAATTTGTGCTGTCTATTAATGATTGCATTTTTCAGCTTCATATCACAACTCCTCAGATCTACACGAGATCTGGTATTAAAACATACCAGAGGTAAGGTATGCTATGATGAGAAGACCACCTCCCAACCAAAGGCCTCTCCAAGGACCACAAAGCAGGAGTAGGATGGATATTGTCCACTTTCCTGAGTGGATGCAGCTGCAGGATTCAAGAAGCTCAATACCATCCACAGCACTGTAGTCTGTTTGATCAGCAAGCCATTCACAAAGTTATTCAACAACTCTCTCCACCCACAGCAACACATCAAGGCTCTTTTGGCAGATGCTTCCAAACCTGTAAGCTCCACCAACTAGAATGACAAGAGCAGCAGGTATTTGGTAAGCAAATAAAGAATTTAAACCTGTACTCGAACATCTTCCAAGTGTTTCACAAGCAATGGTCTAATTTGAACACAAACCATACTGCGTGTCAGAGCCCAAAAGTAGAAATGAACAGAATAACCAACGAAGCTGCTGAGCGATGACAGATTACAGAAATACTGGGAAAATTTCCTCCATCTAACTTGAAGACCAACAGCCCCAACAATGGAGCTCTTTTGCAGTCTTGTACTTGACTGTCAACTTAGATATGAGCTCAGGTTTCTGGTGTGAATGTCGAACTCAATTTCTGGGTCAGGATGAAGAAGCCACGGACTCAGTCAGGCTAATAAATAATAGAAATGGCTCAAAGCAATTTTCTTTTATCTCACTTTCTATTGGCATACAGATTGTTTCCAGTGCTATTAATAGTACCAAAAAGGAAACAAATTAAAAATCAATTGCAAGCTCTGTTTGAAAAGTCATATTTAGTAGAATGCAATTTTGCTTTGGAAAAATAAAAACTAAATAACAGATTTAATCTATTACATACAAGCAATCATTTTACACAAGAATTTTATTTAAACAATACATGATATTTTACAATATTTATAAAATCACTCCTTTAAAGGTCATGCAAGTTTATTTACATGTCTGAGATAAAAATAAAATATTTCAGCTTTTTTGAAACAGTTGAGTTGATGTTAGTACATCTACAGCACACTGATACTCTAGACATTCTTGCATGAACTCCTTAAAGGTTTCTTTAAGTATTCTGTGTGCTTTGGTGTTTCTTTTCTTGTACTGCATGCTTAACATTTTGTCAGCCAAGTAATGCAACCATAACACATTTGTGTGAGGATTATATTCTGCCCAGTTGTTACTGAGAAACAAGAGAAATAAATATTCATCAGTTTTATTTAAAAACCACAAAAGAGAAATTTTTTTTTTAAAAATAGCAACATTATGAATTTTCAAGATTTGGATTCCTATAAATGGTCAACTTATAATGGTATGCAAGTGTACTTTAATTATTCCATAAATATTTTGGCTATTTTACCCTGAGAATATCATCAACTGCAACATTAATTTGATACACATTCATGCAAAACAGAAAAGACACTTTTTCAGTGAAGTTCATATTTGAATACTTCAAATGCTTGTATAATATCCCTTTATGATCTATTCTTAAGCTGGGGTTTAAAAAAACCTATTAACATCTATGAGAGTATGACAGAACAGGTGTAATATGCTTACACTTGGATTTAAATGATTAGAAACTATACCACCAAAATGGTAACATTATGACCCCGGTAGGTTTCCAAAGCAATATTTCAGATTGAAAAATTCTTAATAAAAATCACTAACTTTTCTTCTATATGTAATCACGACTAGACTCACAAGAGAACTAGAATGGAATCACAAACCAACAACCCCTGCCAGCTGCTGTCAAAGGAACAGGCATATATTTAATGTCCAACAATGCCCACCAAACCCTATTAAAATTACCCCAGCGTGTACAGTTACCAAAATATGCATCGCCATTTGGTAGCCTCAAGTGCCTCAATACTTTCTCTGCAAGTGTTATATGTCATATGACAAACGTAAAGTGATTTTTCACAACATGTGGATGGACTCTATGAAAAAGAATTGTTAAATACTTGCAATTACTCACAGATTTTCCTCCTTCATTTTTCTGTATATCTCAAATTGGTAATCTCCTTGTCCACAAAAGAAACTATCCTCAGAGGAAAGATCACAGAAATGTACAACATCATCTGGGGAGAGCAAATAATTACAGTCCAATAAATGTAGTGAATAATAGATATGTGGATGTGATTACAGTACAATGATTTGCTAGTGGTGCTAAAGGAGTAGAGGCCTGTAGATGCTATATTCGTATTTAAAAAAACAGAGATGGTAACTGAGGCAACTACGTGTGAGATGACCAAAAGGTCAGTGGTGTAGATGCTTTAATTTTTGTGACAATAATCTGGGACAAAATTAATTAGGATTTCGAAAAGTGTGGGCTAATAAAAGAAAGTCAACATGGATATGTTAAAAAAGAAAATTGTGCTTAACTGACTTACTTGAATTCTTTGATAAACAAAGTGTCGATGAAGTAGTGTGGTTGATGATAATTATATGGATTTTTCACAAGTATCATAGAATAGACTTACTGTCAAAATTATTACACCAGTGTAGAAGATACTTGGAACCTTTTCTCTTGCATTTGATGCTTGTCGGATTGATCATTTTAAGCATTGGAGGTTGATAGATTTCTGTTAATTGAAGATGATTTGGACAAAGACAGGTATACAGAGCTTGGCCACAGATCGACTGTAATCTCTGAGTGATAAAGAGGGTTCAAGAAGGGCATCTGACCTGTTCTCGTTCTTGTTATAAAGATTTTTTGTTTTTCTTATATTAGTAGATCCAGTACCAGAATGCGCATGCTGCTTTTTTTTTAAAATTGCAGATCTTTTGATCAGGCAAATGGATTAAAACAATTTTGTGAAAATGTATGGATGATACTACTAACCTGTTCCCATTCTTGACAATGTATAATCAATAATATTGGCCACAAATCCATGAGTGTCAATGTTGAAAGTCTTCCCACACAATTTGTATTCAATTTGTTTGATGGTAGTTTTCTTGATAAGAACATTTCCCCAGTGCAAGTCTCTGAAAATGAATTTGAACAAAAACCCAGATAAATACACAATTAATATTTAAAAGAAAAACAGAGATTCCAAACAGCAAAATACACAGGAAACAATGTTTCTGGGCTGGGGAGGATAGATTTCAATGTGATTATTGCTGGGAATCCACAATATGAGGCAGAGTCCAGATGTGTGGGATTTCTATTTTACACAACTTCCACAAATTTGAATCTAAAATGTTGGGTGTTTGTCCCTCCTTGTCTCTTCCTACCTGGCTTGGTGGCAAAATAAAAAATATCTTCTCTACCTTTTATTAGGCATCAAATTTCCACCTCATGATGCATTGTTCTCGCAGTTGGGGGTCTATCTGATTCAAATATTCTAAGTATTGTCACAGGAAAAGTGCAAGTTGGAAGTCCTGTACCATTATATTTCCACCCCTTTAAAATTATCTAAGGAATTTGGGGTTCAAACTTTTTTTTTCAGCTTATAAAATGAAAAAAGTTGCATCAATTACAATATTAACATCAATTACCCATGGTATACAATTAAGTATCGATTTTCAGTGATTGATTCTCTTCTTTTGAGAATGGTTTATTCTTTACATAAGCAATCATCCATGGGGTAATTTAAAAAAAAAGTAGAAAATTAGTCCCCCAGTAATTTTATATCATGTTCATTACACCAATTCTTAAAATCCTTGACTGAAGGCCAGCTAAGCTACAGAGAACAATGTTAATAATATCAAAACATGAGCAATGACATTTCCCCCAGTATCTCAAGTGATCAGGCTACAGTGGCATTAAAACACGGGTGTACTACTTACGATTTCACAATAATGCTGATTTAATAACTTAAGGCCAATTTGTTTTAGAATATAGCTCCCAATAATTATGTTTAGGAAAGATACAAGCAACATTTTTTTCTATTCATTTGTGGGATGTGGGCATTGCTGACTGGCCAGCATTTCTTGCCCATCCATACTTGCCCTTGAGAAGGCAGGGGTGAGCTGCCTTCTTGAACCGCTGCAGTCCTCCTGCTGTGGGTTGACCCACAATGCTATTAGGGAGGGAATTCCACGATTTTGACCTAGTGACAGTGAAGGAACGGCAATATATTTCCAAGTCAGGTTGGTGAGTGACTTGGAGGGGAACTTGGAAGTGGTGATACAAAAACAAAGTTGCTGGAAAAGGTCAGCCGGTCTGGCAGCATCTGTGAAGGAAAAAACAGTTAACGTTTCAGGTCTAGTGATACTTCCTCAGAACTGATGGTGGCTGGGAAAACATCAGTTTATATGCAGAAAATAGGGAGGTGGGTGGGGTAGCGAGTAAACGACATGATAGAGCCCATAGAGAGAGAAAGACAGTTGGATAGACAAAGGCGTTACTAATGATCAAGCTGGGAGGGTGAATAGTTGTTAATGGGGACTGTTAGTGACTAACAATAGCGGGTGTGTAATGGTAGGCTGTGTGGTAACAAGGCCTGGTGTGTGGGGTAGGGGGCTGGGACATGAGAATTTAGGCCCTAAGAAGTCCTATATGTCTGCTGCCCTTGTCCTTCTAGATGGAAGTTGTGGGTTTGGAGGGTGCTGTCTGAGGATATTGGTGAATTTCTGCAGTGCATCTTGTAGACAGTACACACTGCTGCTACGGAGTATTGGTGGTGGAGGGAGTGGATGCAGTGCCAATCAAACGAGTTGCTTTGTCCTAGGTGGTGTCAAGCTTCTTGAGTGTTGTTTGGGCTGCACTCAGAGGCATCTCATAGTTTAATGTAATATATGATACTGGCCTAGGAGATGATCGTAACAAGTAGTAGTATGAATTTCCATTTGATCTGCTGGTTTATCAGTAAATGAAACATTCTCCAATATTTCAGTCATACCCTGCTTTGTGTCGATGGTTTAATGAACTATGTGACTGCCCATTATTTCACGACTACTTGTTTCCTTACTTTTCCCCTGAAGGAAGGGCTCAAGAACAAATACCCAGAGGCCTTCAGCACCTTCCAAAAGAATTGAAGGAATTTATATCGGCTAAATAAAACCATGCTCTCATTCAGGAAAACGAGGAGCAGACTACACGGCTCACTGAGCCTGCTCTGCTATTCAATACAATCTTAGCTGATCTTTGGCTTCATCACACTAACCCATTGTCCATTTCCCTTGATTCCTCAAGATCAAAAATCTGTCTATCTCAGTCTGACATGTATTCAACAGTGGAGTATCTCTAATTCTCTGAGGTAGACAATTCCAAAGATTCACAACCCTTTAAGTGACACCACCCAGGACAAAGCTGTCCACTTGATTAGCACCACATCCACAAACATCCATTCACTCCACCCACTGATGCTCGGTAGCAGCAATGTGTACCATCTACAAGATGGATCTACATTGCAGAAATTCACAAGGGCTCTTTAAACTAGCACCTTCCAAACCAGCAACAACTTCCCTCGAGAAGGACAAGGGTAACAGATAAATGGAAACAACGTTACCTGCACGTTCCCCTCCAAGACACCCTGATTTGGAAATATAACCACCACTGCTTAAGAGCCATTGGGTCAAAACACTGGAATTTCCTCCCTAATAATACTGTGGGACTACTCAAAGCACATGAACTGCAGTGATTCAAGAAGGCAGCTCACCACCATTCCTTCTCAAGGGCAATTAGGAACTGGTAATAGATACTGGCCCTGCCATAAATGCCTGTATCCTATCAGTGAATGAAAAAAAATCCTAGGACCTTGGTCCACAATGGTGTTACTGCAAAAATCCATGTAAGTCATACTGCTAAATCTATACATTCAATTGAGTCATAATTCTGCAGCAAGCCTGTTCTCAACAAACAGATCTTTAAATATTAAAGGAGTCCCTGAAACTGGCAAGCATAGTATTTATTATTATGTATTCCATTATGTTTGACTACACTTCAAAAAGTACTACCTCAGATGTAAAATAAAGTGGTTTGAGAGATCTAGTGGTATTGAAAAGCCCAATATAGAACTAAGCCTTTCTTTATGAAAAGGAAATTGAAAAATTCTGCTTTCCTTCCTTACCTATGTTCAAAATTTAAAGCATTTTCGGCAACAGCCAAGGATGCAGTTACTTGATGCAGTATACTTCTTGCTGATTCAAGAGAAGGTATCTGCAAGAACAGTTTGATAGTTCAATAAATTTAATAGAAACAGATGTCGTGTAATCGTGAAAATAATTTAAAATGTTACCTTTGTCCTCAAACTTTCGAGATCATAACCGCCATTTTCAAATTCAAAAATGATGTAAAGTTGTTCTTCACATGATTCATCTGGTGAAGAGAAAATATGCTTTATTTACTGTTTAGAGATTTCAATAATCTGGAGAATTTACAAAACAACTAAACTTTTGAGCTACATTTCAACCAGAATCAATCACAAGTTTCTGATTTTAAGTAGAGTCTAATGGAGATCATTTTATTGAATAACAAAAAAAAATTCAGTTACTGAGCACTTCGATCCTGGTAGAAAGTGAAGAGACTTTGAATGTTGTGTATATCCCCAATTATAATTATTTCATATCACTTTGTTTTTTTGACAATGAGTTTTCTCAAAGCAACTGAAATTTGTCACAAATACTCTGAAATCAGTCAGATAGCAAGAACGTTGAGAAAGCAGCAACACCATCGAGAATAAACCCATGGAGAGACTGGTTGATGAATCACTAAACTCCAATCACATTTTCCTTTTGAAAAAATCTATGTCTGGTTACTTGTCACTGTCCAGTTTAACAATGAGGTCAAAAATAGAGGGACAATCATCCCTTGAAAACATTGGTGATATAGCACATTATATTTCCACATCAGTAAAATGCAAATAATTAAATGCAAGGTAAGACCCTGAAATAGACACTTTTTAGAAACTGAAGGGATAATTCCTGAATTTACTAAAAGTAACAAGAAATTAATTAAAGCAAACTGTTAGAAAAGTCAGTTATGCCAAATAATGTGTAAAGGCCTTGAGAGAAATTGGTGCCAGTTATTTAAAATAATGGCATGCACTTCTAAATAAATTTTAGAAAGGTCAGTCAATCTCTTAAAATAGGGATTGCATGTTAACTGATTTTAGTTGCAAAAACAATACTCTAAGCACTATCCTAGCCAGAAAGCCCAAGGCTCACCTAAATTAGGCCTCAGTTTTGTTTTTGAATAATTTAAGATGCTCAGCCTGCTACATTTTGAAAGCCAGTTCATTCCATCGTCAGAGTCCAATATAAGCTGCTTGTCTCAATGGTAATAGACCTCAGCTAATATCCCAGCAAGATGTGGTGATCCTGGACCAGCAACAGCTCTCAGGATCACCAAGGACCACTCTGTACATCTTTTCTTTTGAAACACAACCTAAAGTTGCCTAATTTGTGACAGCTGAAACCACACCGAAAAATATTAGCAGAACCCAGTGCCTGATCTTTTCAGGGTATCTGAATTTCTCAGAGGAGTTCTAAAGCACATGTTAGATCCCTTGGTAAAACAGAGCCTGGTGCTCTTTATGGAGAATCACTGTTTCAGATGCCTTTGGAGTACAGGAGACCATGAAATTGGTGCATTTATCATCCCAATGATTCTGATCAAACATTTATTCTCTGGCAATGAGGGAGAAGGAAATTAGTATTTTTTCCAAAGCAGGGATTCAACAGGCCACGTGATGGTAGAAGAGATTCAAATCCCACATTTGTTGATCTCTTTCCTTACAAAAGGTAGGCATGGGTGTCTGATTAAATTCTTTTAAAAAATTTATTCATGAGATGTGGGCGTTACAAGATAAGACAGCATTTATGCCCATTCCTAATTGCCCAGAAGGTAGTTAAGAGTCAACCTCACTGCTGTGGATCTGGAGTCACATATAGCCAGTCCAGGTAAGGACGGCAGATTTCTTTCCCTAAAAGACAATTAGCAATAGTTTCATGGTTATCATTAGACTCTTAATTCCAGATTATTATTGATTTCAAATTCCACCATCTGCTATGGTGGGGATTCAAACCCTAATCTCCAGAACATTACATGGGTCTCTGGATCAGTAGTCTGTTGGCCTAATATCATTAGGCTGTCATCTATCCTATTCTTGCTCTATTATATCTGGCTTTCATATTTCTCATGCAAGAAATCAAAACAATCCCAATACAATTTGGTCCTCATTTTCTTGCTGTATGCAATTTTCAAACATCAAAATAATTGCTGTACATGTCTGACCCAAACTTCTAAAAGGTGCATCTCAATGCTCCCAACTGTGCCAGAAAACATTTTTTGCGACTGGACAAATCCTGTCATATTGTCAAAATGAGCTATTAAAATTCTCACCTGGACGGTCATTTTCCGAAGACTTGGCTTGATTATACTTGTCCCAAGCTTTAAGTAACTCCAGAGGATAAGAATCTTTTACACAATGCACACTACAAAACAATAATTTAGTTTACAAACTATTTGACGTGATTTATATTAATTAGCCCAGATACATAACAAGACTAGTACAGTGTGACTTTTTTTAAAATCCACAACATGATGACACAAAGACATTTCCAAAATATGTGCAATAACTAGGATGGACACTCGGTACAGTACGGTAGACACAAAATTTAGCCTCTCTGTCCAAGTCCAGGATGTTGGTGTTCCTAATTGTCCTAGAATGGCAGGATCAACTCCAATCCTGCTACACCCCCAAAATGTGCAAATAGAACATAGAACAAAGAACATAGAACATTACAGCGCAGTACAGGCCCTTCGGCCCTCGATGTTGCGCCGACCTGTGAAACCAATCTGAAGCCCATCTAACCTAAACTATTCCATTATCATCCATATGTTTATCCAATGACCATTTAAATGCCCTTAAAGTTGGCGAGTCTACTATTTTTGCAGGCAGGGCATTCCACGCCCTTACTACTCTTTGGGATTCAGGTCAGTCATGTGTTCTGAAACCCCATGATGGTTGCCATTTAGATCCTAGAACAGAATAGTCATTTATTTAGGGGGCAGTGACAGCCTAGTAGTATTATTGTTGGACTCTTAATTCACAGAGCCAGGCAACGTTTTGGGGACCTAGGTTTGAATCCCACCATGGCAGTTGGTAGAATTTATATTCAATAAAAATCTGGAATTATGGTCATCATTAGATTCTTAATATCAAAAAAAAAAATTGGTTCACTAATCTCTTTTAGGGAATGGAATCTGCCATTCTTATGATCTGGCCTACACGTGGCTCCAGATCCACAACAATGTGGCTGATTCTTAATTGCCTGGGCAATAGGGACAGGCAATAAATGCTGACCCAGCCAGTGAAGCCCTCATCCTGTGAATGAATTTTAAATAACTCTCTCTCTACTCCCAATACACACCATCATATCTGGGTCCCACCATCCTGCCAAAGTGGAGCTTGCCAGGAAGCAGCTGGAGAGCTATGGAATTTTAGCCCCAAAATATTTAAAATGTGTTTATTGAGTCAATTTGGTCATGGTCGCTCCTATTAAACACTTTGAAATGAGCATGTGCTCTGGAAAACAAAAATGAACCAGACTTGTAAAACTTAGAAGTTTTCTTATTTAGAGATAGAATTTCCAATTGGATTAACTTTCAATTAATCAAAAGCACACTCGGCTAAATGGCCTTTTCTGTGGCATTAAATTTGATGATTTTATCAACTTGACAGAAATGTGCATTTCATTTTTGTTGGCATTCACTCTGAAATTTTAGAAAATCAAGAGTTTATTTTTCTCAGTTGCCAATGTGGACACATTATTGTCTGGCAGTTAGGTATTTATTAATATGCAACCATAATCACAGTGATTAAACCTTTGATATAGAAGTCAATTATCAACTAGATGAAAAAGGCTGACATCAAACCCCTAAAAGTGAGGCCCATCTCTGACAAATGGCAGTGGTGGTGCTCAGATTCTTACTCAGAATATTTTCTGTGTACTAGTTTTATCATAGATAATCCAAGAGGGAGATCTTATAAATCCACTGAAGGAAGGGAGCTAAAAGGTTAATGCCATCTTTTTGAAGTGACCATGTTAAAAGAACATCTACAGCATTAACTGATACTAATGCTGTAGGAGCTAATAACAATGTACTCACAAAATTCAAATGAAAAATCATATTTAAATAAGTCCACTTACGAATGTAAGGTAATAAATCCATTTGAGCAGTTTTCACTTTCTTCACTCAGTTGACTTAATTGCCTAGAGTTTGGGAGATACTTTTCCATTTAGAATTATTGTTGGTTGAAATAGTAAAACAACAGTTCCATTGAGCACTAGATAACATGGTATCATACTATCTATAAAATGCTGTCCAGCTATGTAGTGTGTCTTGAAGAGGCTACCATTTTTTCAGATTCACTTGTGGGACATGGGCATTGCTGGTTAAGCCAGCATATGTTCTTGTCCCTAGCTGCCCTTGAGCTGGTGGTGATCTGCCTTCTTTAACCGCTGCAGTCAGTGTGTTGTATGTACACCCACAATATGGTTTGGAAGTAATTCCAAGAGTGTGACCAGCAACACTGAAGGAATGGTGAGATATTTCCAAGTCAGAATGGTAAGTGGCTTGGAGGGGAACTTGCAGGTGGTAGTGTCCCCAAGTATCTGGTGCCGTTATCCTTCTAGATGGAAATGGGTTTGAAAGGTGCTATCTAAGGATCTTTGGTGAATTTCTACAGGGCATCTTGTAGATAGTACACAATGCTGCTGATTGCCGATGGCTGATGGTGGAAGGAGTGGACGCATGTGGATGCGGTGCCAATCAAATGGATGGTTTTGGCCTGGATTTTGTCAAGGTTTTTGTTATTGGAGCTGCACCCAACCAGTGAAGTATTCTTATTATCTGACCTGCTCTTGTACCATTGTTTTTATAAGGCATGTCCAGTTGAGTTACTGGTCAATGGTAATCGCCAGGATGTTTAAAATGGGGGAATTCAGTGACATTAATGCCGTTGATATCAAGTAGTGGTGGGTAGATTGTCTCTATTAGAGACAGTCATTGCTTGGCATTTGTGTGGTGTAAATATTACTTGCCACTTTTCATCCCAAGCTTGATATCGACCAGGTCTTGTTGCAGTTGAACATGAACTACTTCAGTATCTGAGTCAGCGTGAATGGTACTGAATATTGTGCAATCATTGGCAAACATCCCTACTTCTAACCTTATGATGAACGGAAAGTCATTGATGAAGCAGCTGAAGATGGTTGGGTCTAAGGAACTACCCTGAGGAACTCCTGCAGAGATGTCTTGGAGCTGAGATGACTTACTTCCAACAATCGCAACTATCTTCCCACATTCCAGGCATGATTCAAACCAGAGGAGACTTTGCCCCCAATTCTAGTTTTACTAGAGCTCATTGATGCCACACTCAGTCAAATGCAGCCTTGATGTCAAGGATTGTCACCTGCATCTCACCTTTGGAATACAGCTCTTTTGTCCATGTTTGAACCAAGGCACAATGAGGTCAGGAGCTACGTGGCCTTGACAGAACCCAAATCGGGTATCAGTGAACAGGTTATTGCTGGCGCTGCTTGATAGCACTGTTGATAATACTTTCCATCACTTTCCTGATGATTGAGAGCAGAGTAACAGGACAGTAATTGTCCACACCCGGAAGTGGCAGGTCTACAGAGCTTAGATCTGATCTGTTGGTTGTGGGATCACTTAGTTCTGTATATCACTTGCTGCTTATTCTGTTTGATCTCATGTAGTTCTGTCTGCTGGCTTCAAGTTGAAATCTCATTTTTAGCTGCTCTTGGCTTGCCCTCTTGACCCTTGTTTTCTCTTTGATGGCTTTCAAAATACTAAAATGAAATAACTTTTGACAATGTCAATTCAGTTTTAAGTTGATACAGTTCTAAATGGATGCATTTGTCCATGACAGTGTTGTTGGTTCGACCTCTGCTCAGTCCTTATGAAGACAGAGACTCACTGTCACATTGAGGACATCTGCCATTATGTCATGTATCCCAATCACTGTGCTGAACGACAGCTTTCGTGTTGCCCGGCACTATCACTGTGCTAAATGGGACAGACTTCAAACAGATCTAGCAACTCAAGACTGGGCATCCGTGAGGTGCTGCGGGCCATCAACAATAGCAGAATTGTACTCCAGTACAGTCTGCAATCTCATGGCCTGGCATATTCCCATATATCATTAAGCCAGGGTACATTGAACCCTGATTCAATGAAGAGTGCAGAAGAGCATGTCAGGAGCAGCACCAGGCATACATAAAAATGAGGCATCAACCTGGTGAAGCTACCAAACTGGACTACTTGTGTGCCAAACAGCATAGGCAGCAAGTGGTAGACAGACTATAGACAAAAAAGATCCCACAACAAAAGGAACAGATCTAAGCTCTGCAGTACTGCCACATCCAGTTGCGAAAGGTGGTAGACAATTAAACAACTCACTGGAGGAGAAGGCTCCACAAATATCCCCTCCCTCAATAATGGAAGAGTCCATCTCATCAGTGCAAAAGATAAGGTTGAAACACTCGTAACAATATTCAGCCAGAAGTGCCAAGTGGATGATCCATCTCGGCCTCCTCTTGTGATCCCCAGCTTTAGCCAATTCGATTCAACCCATGAGATATCATGAATCACATGGAGGCACTGGACACTGCAAAGACTATGAGCCCCGACAACATTCCAGCAACAGTACTGAAGACTTGTGCTCCAGAATTTGCCAATCCACTAGCCAAACTCGTCCAGTACAGTTACACGCTGGCATCTACCTAGCAATGTGGCAAATTGCCCAGGTATGTCCTGTACACAAAAAGCAGGACAAATCCAACCCAGCCAATTACCGCCCCATCAGTCTACTCTTGATCATCAATAAAGTGATGGACTTTGTGACATACAGTGCTACCAAGCAGCACCAGTTTGCAATAGCTAAGTGACCTCAGTTTGGGTTCCGCCAGGGCTTTTCAGCTCCTGAACTCATTACTTCTTTAGTTGCTACTTATGGCAAAATGGATACAATATCCATGAAAAAAATGCCAGATTTCAGCACCATGGAGAGGGAAACTGTCTTCAGCTACTTAACCAAGTGACATAAACCCTCAAGATAAGCAGAGTAAAGCAAACTCAATATTTAATGAACAGCTCTTACAAGACGCATGGTAGTCACCCACAATGTGGTGGTAAGCAGGAAGTGGATTTACCTAATCTCCATAGTAACACTACTGAAGGAAAAATACTACTTTGTAATTACTGGTCAAAACATTGAAACTGCATACGATGCACTGTATCTGAAGCTCGTATTAAAGTCAAGGTGAAAGATATTAAGTAAAAATGTACTTGAGATATATTGATCTGTATTTAATGCAAAGAAATTTTAAATTAAAATTGATGTATGTAACTAAAATGCTGTCACCATTTATTTATATTGAATAATACTAAAGTAAAGATAACTTTACATCCTTCCTGCACTACACCTAACTTGTGAAAGTTTAGTGCATGTGCCAAAAGCACTCCATTATCCAGCAATGATTTCTCCTCATTAACAAAAAACAACTCAAACTAATTATTAAAACCAATTCTAAAATATAAACACATACTTCGAAATTATTATTTCAGGCAGGACCTCTTCAAATTTCTTCTGAGATTCACCATTCACAAGCTTCCCCCCTTCGATAGGGATTATCTGCAAGTCGAGAGCAAAGAAAACATAACTTGCAGGTTTTCACTGGAGTGTTGTTGATGGAAAAACATGCTAATTAGCTTTAGAATCTTTCTGGGATTTGTTGATATATTAGCATGTTACATGTGACAGCAGCATATGGCAATAAACGTGAATGGTTGTTTGCTTAAGAGTTGATCACTCCTTTAAAAACAACTTTAAAATAGCCATTCATTCAAATGGCCCTTTTACTTGTGAGAAAGTCTGGATACAACTCTCTCATCAGGAAAAAGTAATCCAGATTGCTGCTGCTGTATAAATTAAGTATTTTGCTTCACTTTGACTACTTATAAAGAGCTGATGCTCAAACCATGCCCAATTCTAGTCCTTCTGCATCTCAAAAAAGATAACAGACAAATGCAAGGAGGGGTAGCTGATTTTTTGTTACAGTGCCTGGACCCTGGGCTTGTGTTAATGAGCAGCTAATTAAGGAGAAAAAAGGGGGTGGTGGTTGTAGTTTTGCAGGGGGTGGGGGGAGGTTGTTATTCTTGTTTACATTGTTGATTGTAATTGGAAAGCACAGGGACTACCTTTAGCTGGAGGAAGGGGTAATGCACAACAATGACAAGTGATCTGAAGAATGGAATGTACTTTTGCAATGAGAAGTATAAAGCTACATTGTGAGCATTAATTCAATCACAATCCATTGCCAATTGTTGAGAAAAACCCATCTAGTTCACTTACGTCCTTTAGGGATGGAAACTGCCATCCTTACCTGGTCTGGCATACACATGACTCCAGACCCACAGCAATGTGGTTGACTCTGAACTGCCCTCTGGGCAATTAGGGATGGGCAATAAATGCTGCCTAGCCAGTGGCACCCTCATACCGTTAATTAATAAATAAAGAAAAAAAAACACCATCACTATCCCTGGATATGTCCTGTCCCACTGGCAGGACAGAGCTAGCAGAGGTGGTGGCACAGTGGTATACAGTTGGGAGGGTGTTGCTTTAGGAGTCCTCAACATTGACTCCGGATCCCGTGAAGTCTCATGGCTTCAGGTTAAACCTGGGTAAGGAAATCTCCTGCTGAATACCACATACCTTCCTCCCTCAGCTGACGAATCAGTACTCCTTCCTGTTGAACGACACTTGGAGGAAGCACTGAGGATGGCAAGGGCATAAACATACTCTGGGTGGGGGATTTCAATGTCCACGACCAAGAGTAGTTCAGCAGCAGTATTACAGATTGGGCTGGTTGTCTCCTAAAGGACATAGCTGCTAGACTGGGTCTGCGACAGGTGGTGAAGGAACAAGCAAGAGTGAAAAACTTACTTGACCTCATCCTTACCAATCTGCCAGCTGCAGTTGCATCTGTCGATGACAGTATCGGTAAGAGTGACCATCGCACTGTCCTTGTGGAGACGAAGTCCCACCTTCACATTGAGAATAACTTCCATTGTGTGGCACTATCACTGTGCTAAATGGGACAGACTTCACACAGATCTAACAACCGAAGACTGGGCATCCATGAGGTGCTGTGGGCCATCAACAGCAGCAAAACTGTACTCGAGCACAATCTGTAACCTCATGGCCCGCATATCACCCACTCAAACATTACTATCAAGCCAGGGGATCGATCCTGGTTCAAAGGAGCATGCAGGAGGACATGCCAGGAACAGCACCAGGCATACCTGAAGATGAGGTATCAACCTGGTGAAGCCACCAAACAGGACTACTTGCACGCCAAATAGCGAGAGCAGCAAGTGATAGACAGAGCTAAGCGATCCCACAACCAACAGATCAGATCTAAGCTCTGCAGTACTGCCACATCCAGTTGTGAATGATGGTGGACACCTAAACAACTCATTGGAGGAGGAAGCTCCACAAATATCACCATCTTCAATGATGGAAGAGCCCAGCACATCGGTGCAAAAGATAAGGCTGAAGCATTCGCAGCAATCTTCAGCCAGAAGTACCGAGTGGATGATCCATCTCGGCCTCCTCCAGTAGTCCCCAGCATTACAGATACCAGTCTTCAGTAGACTTGGCGACTGCTTCGCAGAACATCTGCGTTCTGCTTGCAAAAAAGACCCTGAACTACCTGTTGCCTGCCACTTTAACGCACCACCCTGCTCCCTGGCCAACATCTTGGTCTTTGACTTGCTGCAGTGTTCCAGTGAAGCTCAGTGCAAGCAGGAGGAACGACACCTCATTTTCCGCTTGGGGACCCTACAGCCCTCCGGACTCAATATTGAGTTCAATAATTTTAGGGCCTAAACTCTCCCATGTCCTAGCCCCCCTAACCCATACACCAGGCCTTGTTACCACATAGCCTGCCTTTACACACCCTCTGTTGTTAGTCACTAACAGTCCCCATTGACAACTACTCACCCTGCCAGCCTGATCGTTGGCAACTCCTTTGTCTGTCCAACTGTCTCTCTCTCTCTTTGGGCTCTATCCTATCGTTTACTCCCTACCCCACCCACCTCCCTATTTTCTGCATATAAACTGACATTTTCCCAGCCACTAACAGTTCTGAGAAAGGGTCACTGGACCCGAAACGTTAACTTTGTTTTTTCCTTTACAGATGCTGCCAGAACTGCTGAGCTTTTCCAGCAACTTTGTTTTTGTACCAGTCTTCAGCTAATTCAATTCATTCCATGTGGCCTGTTGGAGAAACGGTTGGAGACACTGGATACTGCAAAGGCTATGGGCCTTGACAACATTCCAGCAATTGTACTGAAGACTTGTGCTCAAGAACTTGCCGCTCCCCTAGCCAAGGTGTTCCAATACAGTTACAACACTGGTATCTACCCGGTATTGTGGAAAATTGCCCTGTACACAAAAAGCAGGACAAATCCAACCCGACCAATTACTGCCCCAACAGTTTCCTCTCAATCATCAGTAAAGTGGTGGAAGGCATCATCAACAGCACTATCAAGCAGCACCTGCTCAGTGACGCCCAGTTTGGGTTCCGCCAGGGCCACTCAGCTCCTGATCTCATTACAGCCTTGGTTCAAACACGGACAAAAGAGCTGAAATCCAGAGGTGAGGTGAGGGTGATAGCCCTTGACATCAAGGCTGCATTCAACTGAGTGTGGCATCGTGGAGTCCTAGCAAAACTGGAATCAATGGGTATCAGGGGGTAACTCACTGCTGGTTGGAGTTATTCCTGACACATAGGAAGATGGTCATGGTTGGCGCAGGTCAATCATCTCAGCTCCAAAACATCTCTGCAGGAGTTCCTCGCCCAACCATCTTCAGCTGCTTCATCAATGACCTTCCCTCCATCATAAGGTCTGAGGTGGGGATGTTTGCCGATGATTGCACAATGTTCAGCACTATTCGTGACTCCTCAGATACTGACGCAGTCCATGTTCAAATGCAACAAGATCTAGACAATATCCAGGCTTGGGCTGACAATTGGCAAGTGACATTCGTGCTACACAAATGCCAGGCTATGACCATCACCAATAAGAGATAATGTAACCACCACCCCTTGACATTCAATGGTGTTACCATCACTTAATACCCCACTGTCAACATCCTGGAAGTTATCATTGACCAGAAACTCAACTGGACTCACCACATAAACACAGTGTCTACAAGAGCACGTCGGAAGCTAGGAATACTGCAGCGAGTAACTCACCTCCTGATTCCTCAAAGCCTGTCCACCATCTACAAGGCACAAGTCAGGAGTGTGATGGAATACTCCCCACATGCCTGGATGAGTGCAGCCCCAATAACACTCAAGAAGCTTGACACCGTCTAGGACAAAGCAGCCCGCTTGATTGGCACTACATCCACAAGCATCCACTCCCTCCACCACCGACGCTCAGTAGCAGCAGTCTGTACTATCTACAGGATGCACTGCATAAACTCACCAAAGATCCTCAGACAGCACCTTCCAAACCCACGACCACTTCCATCTAGAAGGACAGCGGCAGCAGACATATAGGAACACCACAACCTACAAGTCCCCCTCCAAGCCAATCACCATTCTGACACTGATCCTTCACTGTCACTGGATCAAAATCCTGGAATTCCTTCCCTAATGGCATTGTGGGTCAATTTACAGCTGGTAGACTGCAGCGGTTCAAGAAGGCAGCTCACCACCACCTTCTCAAGGGCAACTATTGATGGGCAAGAAATGCTGGCTGGCCAGCGACGCCCACATCCCACAAATGAATAGAAAAAGAAATAAACATAAGGAATAGGACCAAAAAATCCACCAAACACTGGATATTGAGAGACATACAGGATTGGATAAAAAGAGAAAAGGGAGGTTTATGGCACATACCAATATCTCAAAACAGCAAAAGCCCTACAGTGCAGAATGTACAAGGGAAACTTAGAACTTTCATGCAGGGGTATGAAAGAATATGGCAGATAAAATAAAAGAAACTGCTAAGTTATTTTACAAATACATTAAGGGTGAAAGGATAACTAGGGAATGAGGAGGGCTGATTAAAGACCACAGTTGTAATTTGTGCATGGAGGTGGAGGTCATAGGTAGGGATCTAAATGAATACTTTGTGTCTATGTTCACCAGTGAGACGAACATTGTGGGCACAGACATCAGGGAAAAGGTCTGTGATACAATTATAGAAATTAGCTTAGACAGAGAGGAGGTTCTGAGTGGTCTGGCAGACTTAAAAGTGGATACATCTCCTGGCTGGATGAAATGTGTCCCAGGTTGTTGAGTAAGGAAGGGAGGAAATAGCTGGGGCGCTGGCAATAGTTTGATTTCTCTCTGACCACAGAAGAGATGCCAGAAGACCAGACAGACAGCAAATGTGGTATCATTATTCAAGAGCTAAACCAGGAAACTACAGGCCAGTCAGTCTAACCTCAGTTGTGGGATAACAATTCTGAGGGACAGAGTCAATCTACACTTCAAGAGGCAGTGATTAATCAAGAACAATCGGCATGGTTTTGTTCAAATGAGGTCACGTCTGACCAATTTTTCAAAAAGGTGACTAGGTGTGTAAATGACGGCAATGCATTTGATCAGGCATGTATGGGAGACTGATAGCAAAAGTAAAACCTCATGAGATCCAAGAAAATTTGGCAAATTAGATCCATAATTGGCTAAGTGGCAGGAAGCAGAAGGTGACAGTTGGAGGGGTGCTTCTGTGACTGGAAGCCTCTGTCCAATGGGGCTCTGCAGGGATCAGTGTTGGAATCCTTGCTGCTTGTGGCATGCATAAACTTAAATTCAGGGAGGGTTGATCAGTAAATTCACAGTTGATATGAAAATTGGCAGGATGATAAATCGTGAGGAAGATAACCTTAGATTTCAGGAGGATATATATGGGCTGTTTAGATTGCCTGATCAGTGGCAAATGGAATTTAATTCATCAGTGCATGGATGCACTTGGGCAGGACAAAAAAGGCAAGGGAATACAAAAAGAACAGTAGGTCCCTGGAAAGCATAGATAATCAGAGAGAACTTGGTGTTCATGTGCACCAGTCCCTTAAGGTATTGGGACACATAGGTAAAGCGGTTAAGGCGGCAAATGGGACTTTTAACTTTATTAGCAGAGGCATAAAGTTTAAGATCAAGGAGGTAATGCTAGAACTGTATAAAACATTATTTAGGCCACAGCTTTGTGTATTGTGAGCAATTCTGGGATCCACATCCTAAGAAGGATGTGATTGCACTGCAGAGATGGTACAGAAGATTTACCAGGATTTTGTCTGGAATGGAGAGTTTTATTTCTGAAGAGAGATTGGATAGACTGGGATTTCCTTTAAGCAGAGGATATGTAGGGGGACATGATTGAAATGTATAAAATTATGATAGGGTAGACAAGAAGGAACTTTTCCCCTTGGTGAAGGTATCAATGACCAGGAGGCATTGATTTAAAGGTGAGGGGCAGACGGTTTACAAGGTTGAGAGCAAAAACAATTTTCACTCAGTAGGCGGTGGGAATCTGGAACTCAGTGCCTGTGAGGGTGATAGAGGCAGAAATGCTCATAACATTCAAGTATTTAGATGTGCACTTCCCATGCCAAGGCATACAAGGCTATGGGCCAAATGCTGGAAAATAGGATTACAGTAGTCTACAGTATATTAGAGTTTTTGACCAGTTTGACCAGAGCATTTTTCTGTGATGTAGATCTCCATGACTTTAAAAGGTAGATCAGTTTAAAGTCTCATTCAATGGAAGACAGTTCCAACAATGCACCCTTTCAGAATTGCATTAAAGTGGCAATTCAGGTATGTGCTCAAATCCTAGAACTGAACCACAATCTTCAGATTCAAATGACAAGAGTCGTTTCAAATGAGATAAGCATAACTTGGAGTTAAGACCATGTAGGCTGTTCAAACATTTAAATAGTACAAATATTTTTTTGAGAAGCTGGATTCAATAGTTGGTAGGGCCCTGATGTGGCACAGTGATAAAGTCGCTAACCTGGGACCAGGAGGCCCAGATTAAGTCACACCTGCTCCAGAGGTGTGTAATAACATCTCTGAACAGGTTGATTAGAAAAATAGGTTAAATAGTTGCAAGAGACATAGCTGAAACAAATCAGGGTAAAAAATAATGATTGAAACTAAATACCAATTCAAGTTAATAGTTGGATAAAGATCTAGTTTAGCCTACTTAGAGGAAATAGACTGTTATAATACATTGATCTAAGGAGGCCTTCCTGTCCAAGCTCCTTTTATTTTGCTCTATATAGAAAAAAAAAGGTATCACTACACAAGAAAAAGATGCTTACATCATAGCTCACTGTAGCAGTTGCAATATAAGCACCATCTTGTACTACATCATGAATTTATATGGCATTATTTAGCGTCCAAAGGTCCTTCATCATTATAAAGAAAATAGAAGGATAATTGAAAACTTGCTAAAAAGATGGAGTTTTACTTTTTAAAAAAATGTAAGGATAGGAAGGTTCGGGACAAAATTAAAGGGAACAAGATGGACCAAACAACTGAAATAACGTGCTAGCAGTAGTGCATCAAAAGGAGGGACTAATGCCCAAAAGGTTGTGCACAGCAGAACAAAGTGCTCAGAAGGGCAAATCAGCCAGAAGAGATTGCATAGACATAGTGCAACAGGAAGCCAACACAAGGAATGAAGACCTGGGCAATGGTTAAATTGATAGGATATGTAGAGTTTGGAAAAATTGGAACTTGTGAAAGATGGACAATCCAAGAAGAGATGTACAGTAGCTAGGTTTTTAAGGTACAGGCAGTGGATGGGGAAATGTTGTGTTTGTGAGAATTGTCATTGTGATGAAAAGGATGATAACCAGTCACAAGGATGCAAAGAGTCAGGTTCAATGCAATGTGGAAAGATTGCAGAATGAGTAAAAGGTATGACTCTTCCAAAAATAAGCACTGAATGAGAAGCCTGAATCCACCATAATAGTCCACAGGTCTCGTGAGGTAGAAATGATTCTTATCAGCATATCTGTGAGAGCCGATTCCATACTTGGATATGATTTCAACAAGTTGCACCATGTAGGTAAGGATACAAAAGAGCTTGAGGATTTTTGAGGATTATCGAGATGATTATGCAAATTAGATGGCAAGTCATTACTGGAGATACATCAGTAACATTTGGGATTTCAACTCACATTTTGGGCCCTTCCCAACTAATTATCTGCTGTGCAGCTCCCATCTATTTAAAAGTCAGGCCACTACTTTCAAGAGCTATTCAGCTATTGGGAGCAGTGGCTCGCAACAAGGCAAATAGCATCTGGATTCATTGGGGCTAGTTAGGCAGACCCTAGTAAGCAGGTCGAGATTGGTTTGAGCTGGAATGTTACCGCAGTGGTGGTTATTATTGTTGGAGGCCCCAGCGTGGGCCACAGAGTGTCCAGGCTCATCCCCACCCCACTATCACAGGGAGGCTGCAAGGATTTTCTTTGCATACAGACCATCAGCGATCTCTCAAATGTAATAATCGGGTGCCAACTTGAAATGTTGCAAATATAATCAACTTCAGTTGGGAGGAGCACCATGAATAAAGAATCGTAGTCAGAATCATCTGCACAACCACCAAATGCTGCCCTAGCCTGGTCTGGAGTTTGCAATACTGACTTTAAATGGCAGATTAGTGAGGACCTTCTTAGTGAAACAATTGTCTTCATAGTGCAGGGAGAAAAGTTCCAACTGACTGAGCACATCAGGCGTGAAAGGCTAATAGAGGATTGTAGTTGAAATGTTGAGGTCAAAAATGACATCATATCAGCACTGCATGCTAACATCCTGGCTTGCATACTTAACATATGTCTAAATGCATGTTTCCAGCATTGGTTCCAATGACCTGCCCAACATAACATCCAGCAGAGTTTCTGAACCAAAAGTGAGAGCATTGAAAACAGCAGTTTTACACAACTGAATGTTGTGGCTTTGCAGTTTGTCTTATATGTAAATGCTGAGTTGGTAAGATATAAGTTGCCCTAATAGAAGCAATGCCATATGCAGAATATGGAAAAAACTTTGAAAAGAAATTTAATAAGGATTTTAGGAAAGAGCATGAGAATAGAACTAAATGACTAGGACTACCATTACATTCTGAGTAAGAGGTCAAATTACCTTCGTTGGTGCTGCAAAATTCAACTTTAAATATTCTACGATATTAGCTCTTGATATAGTGTTTGGTGTACCTTGAAGACCACGTATTTTCCATCATTATTTGTCATCTGAAACACTTCCCCAAAGATTCCCTCTCCGATTTTCTCACACTTCTCTAGCATGGTGGATGGTATGCATTCTTTAAAAGAAACTGGGCCATTTTGCTGACATTCACAGTACACTTTCTCTTCATCTGTAAGAAATACTGGCTGCAGAATTGGTGGCCATTTTTCCTAAAATATGATTGATACAATGAATGATTAGCATATATACTGTTCACATATTTATTGTTTCAAATCTATAATCAATTAAATATGTCTTTTACTCTGAAATTAAAAATAACCTGAAATGAACATTACAATCATGAAGACAGCTGATAGAAAATATTAAATAATTTAATTGGCAGAATCATATACATTGTGGCATCTTAAAAATGTTGTAATCTTGAAACAAAAAAAGTCAGGGTTTTACAGCACAGAAAAGAAGGGCCCTTTCAGCCCATCATGTCAATTCTAGTCATCAACTACCTATCTACTCTAATCTCATTTTCTGGCACTTGGCCTATAGTCTTGTATGCTACAGCATCTCAAGTATTAATTTAAACACTTCTATGTTGTGAATACACCCACCACCGCTACACTTTTAAACACTGAATTTCAGGAACCCTGCACCCACTGGGTGAACATTGTTTTTCTTCAAATCGCCTCGAAACTTCTTGCTCCATACATTAAATCTGTGGCCCCAGCCATTGAACATTCTACAAAGGGGAAGAGTTTCTTCATATATACGCTACTCACTTTTGTACACCTCAAATCAGATCTCCCCACAGGCTCAACGCCCTAAGGAAAACAACGCCAGCCTATTTATTCTCTTTTCAAACATGAAACACTTCAGCTCAGGGAACATTCGAGTGAATTATTTGTGCAATCTCTCACATCCTTCCTATGGTACGGCGACCAGAACTGCACACAGTAGTCTAGCTGTGGCCTAACACTTTGCACAGCTCCATCTTAACCTCGCTGTTCTTACCTTCAATACCTCAAATAATAAAATTAAGCATCCCGTACACCTTGTTAACCACCTACCTAATTGTCCTGCTGGCTATGAACATGCTCTTCAGAGGACCCTCTATACTTCCCAGAGTCCTAACATCCATCATGTATTCCCTTATCTTGAAGTGTCACTTCACTTCTTTCATGATTAAATTTCACTTGTCATTGCTCTGCCCATCTGACTGCCCAAATATATTTTCCTATAGTCTAAGGCTTTCCTCCTCGCTATTTACCATACCATCAGTTTTCATATCATTTGCAACTTCACTGATCATACCTCCTACATTCACGTCAAGATCATTAATGTACATGACAAACAGCAAGAGATCCAGCACCAAACCCGCTGGTATGCCACTGGACACAGACTTAGCCACAAAAATATCCCTCAATCATCAATCTCTGCCTCCTGTCAATAAGCCAATTTTGGATCTACTTTACCGAATTACTTGAAATGCCATTGGTTCTTGCTTCCTTGACCCATCTCCTATCCAACAACTTGTCTAAAACCGACCGAAGTCCATGTGGAATGCACTAACCTCATCTACACACCTAGTCACTCCTCAAAAAAAAAAATCACATTTGTTAGATATGATTTCCCCTTGACAAAGCCATGTTGACAATTCTTGGTTAATCCTTGCCTCTCTAAGTGGAGATTAATTTTGCCCCTCAGAACATTTTCAGTACTTGTCTGTGCATTACCTCTTACTATATGCTCATTCTGTATACCACCCCCCTGCCAAATTAGTTTACAACCTCACCATCAACACTAGTAATCACCCAGCCTCCGACATCCCCTAAAAGGATGTTGGGCTCATTCTCAATCAGATGCAATCCATTGACTTGTACAGGTCCCACATTCCCTAAAAAGAGACCAGTGATTTAGAAATCTAAAGTCCTTCCTCCTGCACCAGTCCTTCAGCCACAGAAACACTTGTCTGTACCCCTGACTATTGAGACTCTTACCACTTTAGCTTTTCCTCTCTTTATCCTCCTCCCTTGGTTCAGCAGGCTCTGGCTGACTGCCCCAGAAAATCTGTAACTCCCACCATTTTTCAAACACAGTGAGATGTACTCTGAGGCTTTGCTGATGACCTGGCTGCCTGCTTCCCTTCTTACCGATGGTCACCTATTCCTTCTCTTGCTAAATTTCCTTAAGTTGTGGGGTGACCACATCAAAAATCATACCATCTACATAACTCTCAGCTGATGCACTGCTGTGTCTCCAACTCACATTCAAGCTCTGAAATCCAGCATACAAGCTGGTAAAATCAGTGGCAGATGCGATCATCCAGACTGCCAAGAGCGCCGAAGATTTCTCACACGCTTCAGACCATGCAAGACATGCGATTTTAGGTTAACTGTTGTAATTCATTGATTCCAACTAGATGAATCTCAAATAATCACTGTATGGCATTTTGAAGTGTTCACTGAATTTTTCTATGCAACACCACTTCATAAAAATTCATGATTTCTACTCCAGGCATTGAACAATAGTGGTATAATTAAAATTATTATCCAGAGAAACCATTATTTTGATCAGTATCATCAATTTATTCAGCCTGCTTCCCTTTTACTCATCTCAAAAAGAATTCTGCCTTGTCTGAATTATGTTTCAGCAAGTATTCAATGGTGATAAAGCATGCACACATTCTTTTTAAAAAAAAACCATATAGTCAATAGTAAGAGAATAGCACTTTAATTTACTCATGTTTTCCCTCTAATACATAGCAATTAAAAATGTATTAACTCACTTTGGTTACTCACTGTTTTATTGACCCATAATTTTCTTTGCTTTCAATTAATATTATAGACGCATTATCTCTCAATATCAAAATATAAAATTAAAACAGTTATGTAATTTTGTGACTGCTCAACTGATTTATATTTCACTTACTAGTGGACGGTAATCATTTTCATTCCAATGACAAATGAAAAACGTAATAAATTCAAGTTTGTATGCCAGGTTTTAAGTTTTGTGCATTTTGCAACTGCAAAATTATCTAATCAAGTATAATGTTCTGTCAATAGGCCTACCATAAGGGGACTTCTGGATCCTCTCATTCTATTGCTAAGTGGAGTTGCAGAAAAATTTGCCATTGAAACCAACTTATTCAGGCTACGATCATTAAAATTTTCTGTTCTTGAAAGATAAGTTGACTCTGGAGTGCTTTGAAGTGACATGGTGCAATCAGATCTCAAAGGTGTAACAATGACTGGAAGGAGAGAGATAAATTTTAAAAATTAACATTACATACTGGCGTTTCAAAGTATTACAATTAGGCACTCAATTCCTATACTTGATCTCAGTTCTGTGTAACATAAGGATCAACAGTACAGTTTAAGGTGGAAAAAGAACCGAAAGGACTGCAGCCAACCTTAATAGCATTGTTACAGTGAACAATCAGTTCCATTAAGTTAAATTATGACTGCAGTACATAAAATACCAAATGGAATTTAAAAATAGAACTAAAATAAATGCAACACATATTCATAGAAATTTTAGGAACAATTCTGAACTAGATTAATTGCATTGATTTAAGTTGATATTCAATAGGAGAGAAAAAAATGCAATGAAAATAAAGTCATAACTCAACATCACAATGTTTTTGGGTGGCATGACTGACATCAACATCCATTGAAGGCTCCATTAAAACAGAGCTCAAATCACTCAGCTCCACTTCCAAGTAGCAGTTTATAGTTCCACCAAAAGAAAATAAACCAAAGAAGGAAGATATTAACAACCAGAATAGCGAGATGGAATATATGGAGCTCTTAAGAATTCCAGGTAAAGAAGTCACAGGTCATAAATGAACTATTTGGCTGTACTAAAAGTATACAGTTTTGTTACTTTTGTTTTCAAAATGCTCTCGTTGCATGATTTGGATATTTTACAGCATAAACAAAGTGAAAGCCAATCAATTACCTTTCTTTCTTTTGTGAATCGAATGAGCTGCTTTGAACCTTGACCAATTACGTGAGCCTAAAGGAGTAGAAACTGACGAACTCATAAGTGTTGACTTCAAGTTTTTTATCTAATTAAAAAAGAAACAAACAAAAGTGTTCAGATCATGGACTTGGTATAAAGATTAAACCTGGAAACAGAAACCAGGAGCAGGAGACTTGGGCCATTTGGCCCTTCATCTGCTCCATCATTCAATTGATCATGACTGGTTCGCATTCTTGATGCCACATTCATGTTTTCTCTGCATACCCCTTCTTTTCTTTAATATCTAAAAAATGTATTCACCTCTTTCTTGATTATACTCAGTGGCCTGACCTCCACAGCCTTCTGTGGTAGCAAATTCCTCGGGTTGACACTTTGAGTGAAGAAATTTTTCCTCATCTCCGTCCCATATCCTGAGATTGTGATACCTGATTCTCAACGCCACAACCAAAGGAAACACCCACCCTTCATTTAGTCTGTCCAGTCCTGTTAGAATTATATACATTTCAATCACATTCCTGCCATTTGTCTAAACTCTAGTGAATAAAGGCCCAGTCAAACCAATCTGTCTTCATACAACAGTCCTGCCACCCTTAGTATCAGCGTAATGAACCTTCGCTGCACTCTCTTTATAGCACATATATCCTCTCTTCAGCAGGGAGACCAAAACTGCACACAATACTGCAATTATACAGGGCCTTGCTAAGACTGCAACTGGAATCTTATGTTCATTGACTAGAGTACAAGGACACCAAGTTCCCAATATGTGCCATCACTTAACTTATACGCTTTCTGTTTTTCACTACAAAGTGTATAACTTAAAATTTATCTATGTTATACAGCATCTGCCATGTGTGTGATCAGCACTCAACTTGCCTAGATTGCCTTGAAGCCTCCTTTTGCACTTGTTTCACAATTCACGATCCCACCTAGTTTTGTCATCACCAAACATGGAAACTGGGCATTTGGTTCCCTCATCTAAGCTTTATATATGTGTAGATTGTATTGTCCAAGCACTGACACCCACGTACCCTAGTAGTCACTGCCTGCCACCTGGAAAAAGACTCATATATTCCTACTGTCTATTCTCAATTCATGCCAGTATGTTATCCCTTAATCCTTTGTGCTTTAACTTTGCCCACAAGCCTCTTATGTGGGATCTTATCAAAAGTCTTCTTGAAATCCATATACACAACATCCACCAGTTCTCCCTCATCTTTCTACTAGTTATATCTTTAATAACCTCCAGTAAATGAGTTAAGCATGATTTCCCATTCAGAAACCCATGTTAACTCTACCCAGTCTTACTAATGCTTTCCAAATGTGGTGTTATCACATCCTTTAAAATGGACTCTAGCATTTTCCTCACTACGGATGTTAGGCTAAATGGTCTATAATTCAGTTTTTACTTCTCTCCCTTTTTTCAACAGTGGGGTTACATTTTCCAACCTCCAGAAACTACCCCAGAGAAAGAATTTTGGAAGATGACCACCAATGAATCTAATATTTCCACATCCTATAGTGCTCTGGGATGGAGATTGTCAGGCCCTGGGACTGGTCAGCATTTAACTCCATTAATTTCTCTAGCACTTTTTTTTTGATTACCAATACTGATTTTCTTCAAGTCCTCCAGTTCTCTAGACCCTTGGTTTCCTAACATTTCTGGAAAATTATTTATGTCCTCTTTTGACAATTAAAAGCCAAAGTATATGTTTAATTTTTCTGCCATTTCTTTGTTCCCCACTATAATTTTCCCAATTTTTGACTGTAAGGGACCTACAGTTGTCTTTGCTAACTTGCTCTCTTCATACATTTATAGAATCTTTTGCAGTCAGTTTTTACATTACCTACAGATTTACTCTCAAACTCTTTTTGCCCTCTTGATCAATCTTTGTCCCCTTTTGCTGAATTCTAAATTGGTGCCTGTCTCCAATTTCTTTTGTAGGCTGTGGTTAAAACAACTTTCCTGTTTTATTGTGCACCAAATAGGAATTAATAATTACTTTAATTCGTGCAGAAGTTCCTTAACTGTTAGCCATTGCTTATCCACTCCCAAACCTTTTAGTAACGTTCCCCAATCAATCATTCCGAACTTGCACCTTATACCCTCCTAGCTTCCTTTACTTAGATTCAGTTCTCCAGTTTCAGATTTAAATCCTTCACACTCCACCTCAATGAACAATTCTATGATTACGTCTCCACACAAGAAACAACACAAAATTGTTAATTACATAAAAGAACAGAGAGTCATAGAATCATAGAGCTGTACAGCATGGAAACAGACTCCTTATTTCCAACTTGTCCATGCTAACCAGATATCCTGAATTAATCTAGTCCCATTTGCCAGCATTTGGCTCATATCCCTCTAAATTCTTCCTATTCATATACCATCCAGATGCCTTTTAAATGTTGCAATTGTACCAGCCTCCACCACTTCCTCTGTCAGTTCAGTCCATACATGCACTACCCTCTGGGTTAAGAGGTTGCCCCTTAGGTCCCTTTTAAATCTTTCCCCTCTCACCATAAACCTGTGCCCTCTAGTTTTGGACTCTCCCACCCCAGGGAAAACACCTTGTCTATTCATCCTATCCATGATCTTCATGATTTTATAAACCTGTATAAGATCACCCCTCAGCCTCCAGGGAAATTAGCCCTAGCCTATTCAGCCTCTCCCTATAGCTGAAACCCTCCAACCCTGGTAACACCCTTGTAATTCTTTTCTGAACCCTTTCAAGTTTCACAACATCCTTCCTATAGCAGGGAGGCCAGAATTGCATGCAGTATTCTAAAAGTGGCCTAACCAATTTCCCATGCAGCTGCAACATGACTTCCCAACTCCTATACTCAATGCACTGACCAATAAAGGTCAATTAAGTCAATTAATTAACCCTCATTTCCAACATTTTAAAAACAATTCCGTGACATCCTTCCACTCTTCCCCATTTGGGGACCAGGGATAGCACTGAGTGATCAGGCCACCAGAACTACTCAAAATTGCTGTATAAAAAGTTTCCCTCAAAATCTTTAAATAAGGGTTAATCAAAGATTTGTGATATTTAGAAATGTCATAGTATCCAGATAAAGTTTCAAATCCTTTTCAAATTTCAGATCAAATTAACTCCAATAAAACTCAGATTATAAACTTTTACACTTTGTATTGTCTGTTATAAATGTACAAATTTTATAATCCATTTTATCAATCTAGAGAAAGTCACGACCCCTCCAGCTAAACCAAATAATTAAAAAGTCATAATCATGATTTCCCTGGTCCTTCTGAGTAGGTAGAACATCTGCTATATTTTACCATTTGTCACATCATCTTTACCTCTCAAATTCAACATATATTTGTTCAAATTGAAAATACTTCATTACTTTCATTAACTTCTATAAATACTCAAAAGGATCCACTAGATGTGATACTTGCCGAACCAGCAGGCCCAACATTAGAATGCACTTGAATTGTTAATTTTTTTCTTAACAGACAATTAAAACAATTTGCCGAGGGCAAAGCTGGTGGCTGGATTAATGCAGGTTAAAGGGTAAGCAACAAATTCAGATCTTCAGCATTGACAGTATGGCTGATTTTGATATTAAGGATGAATGCCCAAAGCTTTACAGTTTGCATTCTAATCCCAATGTATGTCAGAGAGTGATATGTATCACCGTCAGCATCGTAGTAGTTGTGAGAATTGAAAAAGCTATTGAGAGTTACGTCTGGCATGATTAGCTAATGCTAATGTCTTAATCTTGGCTGTTTCCAGGACATTTTGCAGCATGCTTTGTATTGAAAGGGGACAGTTACATAAAGCTTATCACAGCAACAAAGGTCAAAAGTCTCTGTCTGTTTTTATTTCTCCTTCCCAAGTCATAATGTCCAAGGCAGAAAGGTCATGCTGCATCCACTTGCGTAGACATCCACCAATAGATAAAAATGTTGTGAATTGGGGATTTAACAGCATCAACTTCTGCATAGAACTATCTTTCACCTTTGTAGTGAAGCAAAGTTTTGAACATACATGCTTATGAAATTAATAGATCCTGCTAAAGTTGAGAGAGGGACAGACAGAACATATTCTGACCGAGTTGTATGGGGCTCCATTATTGGGAGTATCAAGTTCCATACAGTGAAGCCACATGATCAATTTAGTTTTTAAAAAATTGTGGGCTAGAATGTACAAGGCTTAATTGAAATAAAATCCAACAGACTGATAGGTGCCACCCCAAATTATTATTGGTTATAAGTGATTACAACTTTGCCAGAAAGACCAGATTTTATTCCACGCATGGAATGCTCAGGGCAGGAACAATGGGATCAAAAAGGCAATCGGTCCATCAAATGACAGACTGGCTTCACTGATTTAAAATAAAAAGGGCAGGATGTTCATCACTGATGACAATAAAAAGATGACAGATGGGTGGAAAGCCATCTTGAATTGTACTCTAGGGAGGACATGGTCACAGTGGAAGCTTGGACCAGCATACAGACCCTGTTTGTCATGGAAGAAATGGATATTCAACACAAACTGGATGAAATTAGCAAAGGTATTAACTTGCCTGCAATTGTCAAAGCTCCAAATGATAACGCTATACCATCTGAACTCATCGAGTACAGGAAGTCTGCACTCCTGTAGCATCTTCACAAACCTCTGCTTCTGATGGAGCAAGAATGTAGTACCCCACGATATGCATGATACAAAGACTGTGACCCTGAACAAGAATAAGTGACTGCAATATCTGACCACATTTCCCCCTGCTGAGCAATGTATGAAAAGTAGCCTTATCAAATTACAGCTTTTGATTGAATACTTCTTTCCTAAATCCCAGTGTGGTTTCAAAATTGAAAAATCCAGATTGTCATGGATCCAAAACTTCCAATCGGGGTAAGGAACCTCAGAAAAAAGCATAGGGAATCTTTATAGAAGGCACCTTCCCCTTCTCCATTAAAAGCTGCCATATTCAAGTTAGCAAACAAAGTCTGAAGACCCAAAGGCTATGTGTAAGGCAAGTGTGAAAGGAAAGCATGGCAGGTGAGAAAAGGGGTTTGGATTGGAGTGCTGTGGTGGGATTATTGAGGGATCACTGTGAGCGAGCGGTTGGGGTTGGGTGTCAGGTGTCAGGATCACTAATATATAGCTGCTAGAGCAATTTCAGTCCTCTAGCATTGCATATGTAACTATCCAGGTATGAGTTGGAACCCTTTGATGTCGCCAACTCTAATTTATACCTTTTTTAATAGTTCTAGATGCTGTGTAATTGCCCATCAGAAGTTTACATTACTAGATAATTGCAATCGGAAATCAGCGTACTGGAACCACCAAGGAGATCCGACGTGCACCTTTCAAAATATATTTGGTTAAAGACTAACTGGACATCAGAAGATCTGAGCTATGATCCTCTCAGATCTGCAACTGAGAGCACAATGTCTGTGAACAGAGGAAACTACTAAATATTGCCTTCATTGATTTCATTAAAGAATTCACCCATGTGAGCAGTGGCAGCTTATTTAAGTCAAACAATCTATTGAGTGTGATGTCCTCCTTCCAGGACATGATGAACGGATAAGGTCATCAATGACAGGACAATATCCCTCGGGGGTTCCGACAAAGTTGCATTCAGCTATCGACACTCGCGTTTCTTTTTGCTCAGCCACTGTCACATACCCTTATTTCATAGAAGGGTGCCTCCTTACAGAAAAATTTAATAGCTGTTTGGCCTTATCTTCCTGTGATCCAAGAAAAAAGTGTGCCAAGTTCGCAGCTCCACACTGATAATACTGCACTAATAATCCATACCTGGGAACACCTTCAGTAGATACAAACAGACTCTCTCTTACCTGCAAAGCTTTTGGTTTGACCATCAGCATTAGGATGACAATTGTCATAATAATTACAGCAATATTGTAGACTATCAGAATTGACAATGTGACCACAAAGGTTGTGGATACATCTACCTAGGCTCCTCAATCACCAGAATTTGATCAGATCATAGGATGCTGAAATCAACACACAAATTGCAAAAACTGCTGCTATCCAAACTGAGTTGAAGGTGCAGTCCAACTAGCAACAAGCTTAACGAGAAGATCACACCTTGAGTCTACCAAGCCCCACGTCCTCAATGTACTCCTTTACTGTAGCAACATCTGGACAGTATATCTTTTACAGCTTCCAACTTTACTATGGCAGATGTTTCTTCAGCATCTCTTGGGAAAATAAGGCAACCAACTTAGAGGTCCTGGAGGGTGCTATTTCTATCCTTATTCATTTTAAGCCAACAAAATTTGCAAAGTTCAGATGGTTGACAACCAAAGAATGAGGAATCACACAACCTCCTGGACATCCATATCTCCACTACCATAAAATCTGGAAATAAGATACCGGCACAGAGACTAAGAGGTAACGACCAACATGCACGCCCTCTGGATGTAGATTGTTTGGGAGAGACAAAAGATTAGCTAATCTAGAAGAGGATCCAGAGAAAATGGAGGCCAGTAAATTGTGGACCTTCTCAGCCCACTGTCTTCTTCTGTAGCAGCATGGGTTGCCACACCAGAGCTGAAACACAGCTTTCCTTGTCATTCTAGATGGTAGTTGTGGGCTTCAAAGGTGCTATCTAAGCAGTCTTGATGAATTTTTGCACTGCATCTTGGTGCACCCTGTTGCTACTGAGTGCTGCTGATTAAGGAAGTGAATGTTTATGGATATGGAGCCTACCAAGTGGACTGGATTATTCTGTATTCCTAGCCTTTTACATGGCCCTGTGAGCATTGTACTCATATGGCTAGTTTCTGGTGAACGGTAACCCCCAGGATGTTGATAATAGGGGATTCAGTGATGGTAATGCCATTGAAAAAAATCAAGGGGCGATGATTGCTTTCTCTGTTGCCAGAGATGGTCATCGCCTGGCACTGTGTGGCAGGAATCTTTCTTGTCACTTGTTTGCACAAGCCTGGATATTGTCTATGCCTTTCTGTATTTACCTGGATCTGCTTCAGTATCTGAGGAATCGCAAATAGTGCTGAACATTGTACAATCATCAATGAACATCCCCATTTCTGACCTTAAGATGGAGAGCAGGTCACTGATGAAGCAGCTGGAAATGGTTGGACATAGGACACTACCTTTAGGAATTAGCCAGGTTCCATGGGTTCAAGTCCCATCTGCTCCAGAGGGTTCTAATTACATCTGAGAGTTGATTAGAAAATATCTGCCTTGACGAATTCCAGCAAAGATGTGCTGGAGTCAAGATAATTGATCTCTAACAGCCACAAACATCTTTATTTGTGCTAGGTATAACTCCAACCATCGGAGGGACACCACCCCCCACCCGCCACCTGATTCCCATTCACTGTAGTTTTGCTAGGACTCCTTCAATGACACACTCAAACAAATGCAGCCTTGATATCAAGGGCTGTCACTCTCATCTCACGTCTGGAATTCAGGTCTTTTGCCCATGTTTGACTAAGGCTGTAATGAAATCAGAAGCAGAGTGATCCCGGTAGAACCAAACTGAGCATCAGTGAGCAGGATTTTGCTAAGAAAGAGCTGTTTGTTAACATTCTTCTGCATAATATAACACATTTTAATGCACCACAGCACCAAATCATAAACTTAAACTCCAGTTTCAATGAATATTCACAATTGGTCATTGTTGGTTTCTTTATAGGCTTCATTGCAGAAATGTCAATAACACTCAGCTTAGTTACTACAGTTCAACGCATATTTCAAAACTTGCCAATATTCCATATTATCAGTTCTTTACTAACTTTATAGCATTTAGTCCACCAAAACATGTCCAATGAATTTATAAAATTCAAGCAATACCACAACAGGTAACTACTTATCTAACAATACATTGCAAGAATTCTTTGTGCACAAGTTTGATATTTATAATTCAAAGTCACTATATGCCCCCAAAGGTTGATACTATCCAGAGGCAGAAGCAATTGGAACATGGCACAGCAGTCTTTTTGATCAAAATTAAAATTGAAAAAAAAATTTGCCTATCATGTAGCAGCTTTCACGATTTCAGAAGTATGAAATTATTTGAAGACGTGAATTGAATGGACCCTCGAAAATATGAATATTACAGTTAGCTGCTATCATACCAAAGTCTTATTATTGTAAATAGCACAGTAGCCTTTATTGCAAGGGCATGTTGTTATATAAGAGTTACAAAGTCATCTTGCAATTCTGGAATTTAGGTGAAAGTGTTTTGCACAGCTTTCTGCAGGTCTCCTTACTCAAAGAAGGATATACTTGCCTTTCTGAGAGTGCAAAAAGGTTCACTAGATTGGTAAGTTGGTTAAGAGAATAGTTTCAGGAGGAGAAAATAGCCCTATGTGCTCTGAAGTTTAGAAGGTAAGAGTTTTTGTGACACCTAGAACACTTAGTCTTTTATAGGGCCTGATAAGTAAATTTCCTAGCTGAAGACAGAAAACTGGAAGTTATGATGTGAGGATAAAGAATCAGCCATTTGAAATGGAGAAATATCTTCACTTAGGGATCGTGAAACTCTACACCAGACAGTTTTAGTTCCCAAGCTTTTGAGTATATTCAAGAATTAAATCAATAAAGCTGAGCAAAAGATATGGGGATCCATCAGGGAAATGGTATTGACATAAAGCAGCCGTAATCTCATTGAATGATAAAAGGACTGTATTATGTACTCCTGTTCCTATTTCTGGTATTCTTCAGGCAAGAAGTCTCATTATATTTTAATGGCAAACCTGTCTCCAGAATGCAGGTGAGTCAATCTCTCCAGCATAACTGTAGATGGGAGCGATGGAGCAGGGTGGGGTCAGGTTTTCCAATTTCTTTATTGATTTTAAGTTCATACCCCATTCTGGAGGTTAAAATGTACAACCTCTCCCTGCATCAACCTTACCCCACCAGGAGTCTCAGATTGCTGACATGGAGAATGTGGCATTAAGTTAAGTTGACACAAATACATCATTACTAAAAATAAATGCATAATCCTTACCTCAGTCATTTGAGATTCTGGATGCCCATATAAATCCACTGTGGACTTTTCTGCACTTTTCACAGTGACTGAAGCAGGATCTGTATTTTTTTGAAATGCTGAAGCAGAGAAGCTGCTCTGTTTGTCAAAGATACTAGAAGCATTGTCACTGAGTAGGTTCCTTTGTCCAGATAGGCAATTTGCTTTTAAGGAGTAGCCATCTTTCATTGAAATAGTTTTTCTCTTTTGTTGGTTTTTTATATGTTTGAAGCAGTCTGCATCAGCTGTAGACCCCTTACCAGACTTCCCATCTTGGGAATTAGAGTACATTGAAGACAAAGATGATTTCAGATTCATGCAATCTGTTTGTCTGCACTTTTTTCTTAACAGATGAAAACTGCCATCATGTTCATTATTAAAAGAGCCATCAGCTAGACTTCGTTTTACTGGATTTGTCATAACTTTCTTTGTTGGTAATTGCCACTTTAGCTCAAGAGGACTAAGTACCACATTAGGCTGAAGAGCCACCCAATTGAAAGATGTCCTCCCACTTTTTTGGGGTGTTAATTTTTCACGTAAATGATTAATAACTCGCTGCTTTTTTGCAACTGTACCTTGTGATGAACCTACCTTGGAAGAGTCATCTTCGACAGATGACACCGATCTTCTTTCATGGAAATATCTAAAAACTGAAAAGTAATCTAATTGTACCACAGGCTGCAAGCTCAATTTGGAAACAATGTTCTTACTGGCAGTGTGTTCCTGTTCAGTTACCAAATCAAGATTTGATGTATAGTTAAGCAATCCTGACTTCACTAAAGAATTTCTCACAAACACTTTTGGATCATCTACTCCATTAACTAAATCAGCCTGAGGAGACACAGCTGATTCTTCAGTAACATGAGAAAACAACTCAACACTATTATTGAAGGTACTGTGCAAGGTATGACTGAAATCATCTTTGTGGGGTTGAAATAAGTGCGATGTTATTGAATCTATATGCTCAAGATGTTCCTCCAAAGACGCAGAAGCTACAGGTTTACAATCAGCTTCAAGACTACAAATTCCACCTAACTTCTTTGGAGACAATCCAACAAACTCTGAATTATTTGAGTGTTCTGTAGAGGAAACTGCCTTACACGAAGTGTTGCTACTCCGGGTGCAACAAGTTCCCACTGTACTGGGATGGTCAATACTTTCCTCAATGTAAGGTTCAGCATTGTTCTTCCATATGCCATGCTCAATTTCACTGTTGAATGAAATGATACATCTTGATGGTTCCTTGATTTTTGATTTCCTTGTACAAGAAGGTGTGCTCGTCTGCAGTGGGGATCTATCCAGCTTCCTTACAGCTCTGGAATTACAACTAAACTTCTTAGCTTCGCAAGAAATTCTGCATGCCTTTTTTGGTTTATTAAAAGAGATAGATGATTCTGAAGATTCTATTAGGGATCCAAGCAATTCCTGAAGGAGAAATGGAAGGACACAATTAGAAAATTGCTAATTTATATACATGTGCATATGTATCTAAATGTCCACAAATATGAATAGAAACTCAAACTACAATCACTATTCAATAAATAAAGGTCGCTCCGCAAGATGAAAAGAATTAACTTTTGTCCAAATTATATTTAACAGCCAAATGTTTGTTCTGAATAAAAATGTTAAAGCAAAGCGTGAAATTTCACTGATTTCGTACTTTGTTTAGGTTTTTTAAAAAATGTATTCATGCATGGGATACGGGTGTGGTTGGCTTGCCAGCATTTATTGCTGATCCCTAGTTGTCTTTGAGGTTGCGGTGGTGAGCTGCCTTCTTGAACTACTGCAGTCCATGTGCTGTAGATAGATCTGCAATGCCTAAACAAAGTGTAAGATCAGTGAAATTTCATGATTTGCTATAACATTTTTATTGAGAACAAACGTTTGGACACTAAATGTAATTTGGACAAATCTAATTCTTCTTGTTTAGTGGAGAATCGATAGATGATTGGGCCCAGGACACCACCATGAAGGACTCAAGCAGAGATATCCTGGAGCCAAGATGACCGAGCCCCACCAGCCACAACCATCTTTCTATGTACCAGGTATGTCTCTAACCAGCAGAGATTTTTCCTGGATTCCCATTTCACTAGAGCTCCTTGATGCCATACTCGACCAAATGAAGCCTTGATGTCAAGGGCTGTCACTCTCGCCTCACCTCTGGAATTCAGCTCATGTGTCCATGTTTGAACTAAGGCTGTGATGAGGTCAGAAGTAGAATAGCCCTGGCAGAACCCAAACTAGGCATCATAAGAGGTGAATTCAAATAAAATACAGCTTAAAAGATGTGCTGGATTTTAACCTTCATGAGTCGAACGTGGATTCCATATAATAATGTGCATTGATTCGGTATTGAACTAAATGCCTTTGTCCTTGAGAGAAACTCTCTCTACTTTTGAAAGTCAGTAATGATTTATACTCCTAACAACCCTCCAGTTCTTGCCTGCTTTGTACAAAACCATTTAAACAACGACAAAATAATCCAGCGTGTGAAATGAAATTGTTAAATTGTAAGCATGTGAACATGCTCAACAGACAATTTCTCCACATGGTGTCACAGTATGCCATCAACAGCTGTACATCCTCCTTTTATTTTGTTAAGTTCTTGAACAGCTTTACTCTGCAAGCACGACAAAAAATAAAAATGTAGAAAATGCAAAAAGTTGTGCAGAAGAGAGCAGCATATTGCAAAGGAACACCAACTGTCAGATATAGGAGGTAGTGGCATTGCAGTATTGGCTCACTGGACCAGCCTTCCGCAGATATGCTTTGTGACATGGATTTGAAGGCCTCCAGGACAGAACTGAATTGAATTAGCCCTTTATTGTCACATATACTCAATGAGTATAGTGAGAAGTTTATACATCGCCACTTAGGTACAAAGGTACCTAGGGTACAGCTTTAGTTACACGATCTTAGAAAATAGAAATATAATGTTCTGAACTTTTATTTCTGCAACGCTGGACAATGGTCTTCCAACCCAAAACCACGCTAGCACCTAGCCTCAAGTCCATGCCAAGGCTGGGAGAATAACTGTAGGCGGCCAGGCCGAGCCAAGGACGCCATGCCAGGAGGCTACACTGGAAGGTAGCTACAACAGGTGGGGAGGCCATTACTCCAAGCTGGGAGGTCACCATGCCATACTGGAGGCTGCTACACCAGGCTGAAAGGTTGCCACGCCATGCCAGTAGGTCACTACGGGACGTCACTGCCAGGCCGGGAGTTCGCAATCTTAGGCTGGGAGTCAGCCGAAGGCCAGGAGAGAAGAAGAAAAAAAAAACAGAAGAAAATAGAAAGAAGAAAAGAACAGGCAGAGCAGACAAGCTCCAGCTGGGGCATCCAACTCTGCCAACATCTTGGACTGGATGTCATTGGTGAAATTTGGATTCAACTGTTAAAATCTGGAATTAAAAACTAGTCTAACCATGTCTAACTGGTCTAAATCACTTTTCTTTTTTTATTTATTCATGGGATGAAGGCATCGCTGTCTAGGCCAGCATTTATTGCCTATCCCTAATTGTCAAGAGGACAGTTAAGAGTCAACCACTTTGCTGTGGGTCTAGAATCACATGTAGGCAAGATGGTTAAGGATGGTAGTTTGCTTCCCTCAAGGATATTAGTGAACCAGATGAGTTTTTCTGATAATCAACAATGGATTGATGGTCATCATTAGACTCTTAATTCCGGACTTTTATTGAAATCAAATTCCAACATCTGCCTTGCAGGATTCAAACCTGGGTCCCCAGAACATTATCTGGGTCCCTGGATTAACAGTCCAGTAATAATACCACTAGGCCATCACCTCCCCCGAGAGGGGGGAGTCAACACAAAAACCAAGCTGGTTCACCAGTATCCTTTAGGAGAGAAAAAGCTGCCATCATCACCTGGTCTGACCTACATAAGGTTGACACAATTGCCTACCAAGGCATCTAACTGCTACAGTATATGATAAAAGGAATTAAATTACATACAATCCGAAATTGACCGTCACACTAAAACATATTGGAATACACAGCTAATCCGGAGTCCTTCCAGAGGAGTGGCACTGCAGTATACAGTGTGGAGGGGTTTGTGTTGCAAATCCTCAACAATAACTCATAAAATCTAATGGCATCAAGTCAAATAAAAGCAAGGAATCCTGTTTGTTATCATCTGCATCAACCAACATCATTCGACCCTCGCGACAGCCTAAGACCAGATACAAGCAATAGCTGAATTACATTCAACCAAAATCTGTAACCTCATGGGCTGGTTTTTCACCCACTCCACCATATCACCAAGCGAGGAGTACCACTAAGCCAGCACCATGGTAAAGAGTTCAGAAGGGCGAGCCAAAACCAAAAAAAAGGTGACAGCCTGAAGTTACAACACAGGACCATTTTTATGCAAAGCAGTGGCGGCAGCATGTGATAGATAGCTGGTCCATAACCAAAGGATCAGATCTAAATTCTATACGCCACATCTACAATTAACTAGAGGATGACAGTCCACAAATAACTTCCACAAATAACAATCTCTGGAGGTTGCCAGCATCGTAGAAACCTGCCTTCAGTCAATTCAGTTCACTCCACATGATAAAGAAATGGCCAAAGGCACTGGATACTGCAAATGGTAATTACTCTGACAACGTTCCAGCAGTAGTACTGAAGACTTGTGCTCCAGAAGTAGCCATGTTATAATCACATCACTTCAGTACCCCTCTTTCGCAGTCCCTCAGGATCGAGGATGAGTTGGTCCCACTCCAGGGGTTGGATTCTGCAGTGGCTAAATAGTCTAATCCTGGAGCCACAGACTGCCAAAGGTAAGGTAGGTGGGATTCTCTGGATTTGACACGCACTTTCTGCTGCTTGCACTTGGCCTCCACATGCTTTATTTGTTAATGCTCCAAGTGGTTGGCATCTTCATGGATGCTTCTCCTCTAGTTTGGGCATTCCAGGACAAGCAACTCCCATGTGTTGTTGGGGCTGCTGAATTTGTTTAGGGTGGCTTTCAGGGTGTCCTTGCAGCATTTCCTCTGCCCTCCTAGTGATCACTTATCATTACGGAGCTCAGAGTAAAGCACTGATTTGGGGAGTCTTGTGTCAGAACACAGACAACATTTAGTCATAGAGTCCTACAGCACAGAGACAGTCCCTTCGACAAAACTCGTCCATACCGACCAAAATGTCCGTCCACGCTAATTCATCCAAATGCCTTTTAGATGTTGTTCATGCACCCGCCTCAACAATTTCCACCGGCAGCTTATTGAATATGGGTACCACCCTCTGTGTAAAAAAAGTTGCCCCTCAGGTTCCCATATATTCTTTCCCTTCTTACCTTAAACTGATGCCCTCTAGTCCTCGATTCCTCAACCCTGGGAAAAAAATTCAGTGCATTCACTCTATCCATGCCTCTTGTGATCTTATACACTTCTATAAGATCCCCCTTCAGTCCCCTATGCTCTAAGGAAAAAAGTCCTAGCTTGTCCAATCTCTTCCTATAACTCAGTCCCTGGAGTCCTGGCAACATCCTTGTAAATTTAGAGATAGTAAGAACTGCCGATGCTGGAGTCAGAGATAATAGTGTGGATCTGGAGGAGCAGGAAAGTTGACTTTTTGGGTAGGGACCTCCTGACCCAAAACATCAACTTTCCTGCTCCTCTGACGCTGCTTGGCCCATTGTGCTCCTCCAGCTCCACACTGTTATCCTTGTAAATTTCTTCTGCACTCTTTCCAGTTGAGGAACATCATTCCTATAGAAAGATGACCAAAACTGAACACAATTCTCCCACTGCGGCCTCACCAACATCTTGTACAACTGCAACATAACTTTCCAACTTCTAATACAATGCCCTGACTGAAAGCCAGTGTGCCAAAAGCCATCTTCACTGCCCTGTCTACTTGTGACTCCACTTTCAGAGAACTATGCACCTGAACTCCAAGGTCCCTCTGTTCCACTACACTCCTTAAGGCCCTACCATTCACCATGAAACTCCCAACTTGATTTAGCTTTCCAAAATGCAACACCTCACACTTATCTATATTAAACTCAATTTGCCATTTCTGGATAACTTCTCCAGCTGATCAAGATCCTGCTGCAATTTCTGATAATCCTCCTCACTGATCACGATACCACCTATTTTAGTGTCATCTGCAAACTTGCTAATCATGCCTTGTACATTCTCATCCAAATCACTGATATAGATAACAAACAGCAATAGGCCCAGCACCGACCCGAGGCACAAACACTAATCACAGTCCTCCAGTCCGACTATTATTCTCTGCCTGCTACCATCTCGCCAATTGTGTATCTAATTTGCCAACACTCCCTGGATTCCATGTGATCTAACCTTCTAGAGCAGCCTACCATGTGGAGCTTTATCAAAGGCCTCACTGAAATCCATATAGACTACATCTACCACCCTGCCCTCATCACTTCATCAAAGGACTCTAACAAATTTGTGAGGCATGATCTCCCATGCACGAAGCCATGCTGACTACTCTTAATCAAACCCTGTCTTTATAAATTCATGTATATCTTATCTCTCAGAATCTTCTCAAGTAACTTACCTACCACAGATGTTAAGTTTACTGGTCTATAATTCCCAGTTTTTCTTTGTAGCCCTTCCCACATAAGAATACAACATTTGCTACCCTCCAGTCTTCCGGGACTTCACCATGGCTAACGATGATGCAAATATATCAGCCAGGGCCCCCGCAATTTCTTCCCTAGCCTCTTGTAGCGTTCTTGGATATATCTGATCAGGACCAGGAGATTTATCCACCTTCATACATTCTAATACTTCCAACACCTCCTCTTACTGTGATATGGACTGTCCCAAAGATATCGCCATTAGCTTCCCCAAGGATCTCGCCCATCTCCTGCAGTTCCACACATACATGTCCACTTTGGTCCTTGAGGGGTCCTATTCCCTCTCTAGTTATTCTTTTTCCTTTAATATTCTTAAAGAACCTCTTCAGATTCACCCTAATCTTCTCAGCCAAAGCTATCTCATGCCTCTTTTCGCCCTTCTGATTGCCTTCTTCAGTAAAATCCTGTATCCCCTATATACCTCCAGGGATTCCCTTGATCTGAGCTGCCTGTTCCTAAGCCACACCTCCTTCATTTTTCTGGTCAAAACCTCAATATCTCTTGTTATCCAGGGTTCCCTACTCCTGCCAACCTTGCCCTTCACTCTCACAGGAACATCTAGACCTTGAACTCTAACTATCACACTTTTAAAGGCCCCCACCTGCCAGAGGTTCCTTTACCTGCAAACAAACTACTCCAATCAATCCTTGCAAGCTCCTGTCTAATTCCATCAAAATTCATCTTGCCCCAATTTAGAACTTAAACTGTGGACCAGTTTTGTCTTTCTCCATAACTACTTTAAAATGAATAGAATTATGTCATTGGTCCCAAAGTGCTCCCCCACTGTCACTATTTCCGAACAGTCGGTCGAGATTCGCCCCTTCCCAGGTAGGACCCTCTATATACTGCTTGAGGAACCTTTCCTGAACACATTTAACAAATTCCACCCCACCTCAGTTCTTCCCACTGGAGAAGAGATAACTTAGAGGACAAGTGGGACCCTTCAACACCTCCAGCCCAGAACCAAGACCACCCCAACTTCTGCTATCAAGCTGCAGTACACAGATGATGTCTGGGTGTGCACACATTCAAAGACCAAGTTACAAACCATTGTTGATGCATTCACAGAGGTGTATGAGAAAACAGCCCTCAGACTAAACATCCAGAAAACAAAGGTTCTCTATCAGCCCACTTCTACCAAACACTGTCTACAACCATCAAAATCCAGGCAAGCCCGTGGATAACATGGATTATTTCCCTTACTTCGGAAGCCTCCCCTCGGTGTGAGCGGGCATTGATGATGAAAGCCAGCATCGACTCCAATGCAATAGTGCAGACTTTGGACGCCTGAAGGGCAGTGTTTTCAAAGTCAGAGACCTCAAAGCCAACAATGTAGCCATGTCCCCTCCCTCCTGTAAGCATCAGAAACATGGACCATGTACAGCAGACACGCAAATCCCTGGAGATTTATCACCAGCACTACCTTCACAAAATCCTGTATATCCAGTGACATGATAGGCCTATCAATGTGAGCATCCTCTCCCAGGCCAGCATCCTCAGTATTCAGTCCAGTTACAATATCTACCTGGCAAGACGGAAAATTGCCCAGGTACGTCCACAGATCCAACCTTGCCAATAACCACCCCATCAGTCTACTCTTAATTATCAGCAGAGATGGAAAGTTTCAACAGCAGTATCAAGCAGCACTTAAATCAACAAATGCAGCATCAAGGAACCCCAGCAAAACTGGAGTCAACAAAAATCAGCAAAAACTCTCCATTAACTGGAGTCATACATACCAAAAAAACAAAAATGGTTGTGGTTGCTGAAGGTCAAGCATCTTATCTACATTACATCACCGTAGGCAAATATCATAGTAGATAATCGAACTGTTCAGAGATGCTGTTATGACACAAAATTGGAGCAGGTGGCAGTTGAACCTAGCCTTCTGGCCCAGAGGTAGGGACACTACCACTGCACCACACACACAGACCCTTAGTTTCTCCAAGTAGTGTCCTGGACCCAAACATCTTCAACTATAAATAACCCTTGCTCAACAATACGGTCAGAGGTGAGAATGTTGATGCATGATTGCACACAATGTTCAGCAACATTCACAACTCTTCAAAAACCAAAGTGGTCCATTGCCAAATATAGCAAGACACAGACCCAATTCAGACTTGGACTATTAAATGTAACAGTTGCATCACAAAAGTGCCAAGCAATGACCATCCCAACAAGACAGAGTCCAACCATTACCCTTAACATTCAATGACCTTACCAATAGTTCAAAAGGGCAACTCACCCCCACCACCATTTTCTCAAGACAATTCGAAATGAACAATATATTTTGATCTAACTAATGACACACACATCCAAAGAATCAACAAACTGAAGAGATTACACAAAACGGTAATACTATGGCAGATGGAGGTTTATGTGGGCAAGCACAAAACAGGATCCAGGAAAGACAAATCTGAATATTCCCCAAATGGAAAGAAGCTAGAAACTGTCAGAGCCAAGAGATCTGGGTATCCACATACCTAAATCATTTAAAAATCAGGAAACAGATACAAAATAAACTCAAACAAGACCAACGTAATGTTAATCTTAAACGGGCAGGATTACAAGGGGGAAGATGTTACATTTCAATTGCATGGAATCTCAGTTGTACCTCACCTTGGATTACTGCGTTTTATCCGCACCACTATATGTTCCAATTGATATATTAGTTTTAGGGGGGACTGTCTCACATATCTACTAGATTACAAGATAACAAACTTCCCTTTTATTTCTTTTCATGCACACAATTGAGGGTCAATGTGATCAAGGTGATTAAAATCTTAAAAGAATTCAATATAGTTTGAACATCCAAAAATCAGACTCCCAGAAATAACCTGTTTTCAAAAAAACATTTTATTTGATAACTAAACAAAATTCAGACTATTGTCCAAAACCAGGACAATTGAGCTTTGAGCTAGATCTTGGCATGTGTAAAATAGTTTCTGCTGTAATCAAGTTAGAATTGCAACAATTGATGTTTTTAACTAAAAGGCAATGGAAAGTGAATGGAGAAGACGGTGATAAATTTTATAAAATTATGGTCTTGCCAAATTGTGGATTAGTGACACAGTTGCTTAGTTGAGAAAATGAAAGCAAAAATGTTTTTGTTCCAGAAATTAACATTTCTCTACTACAACTCAGGTGCAGCGTTCTTCAATTCAATAGTTCAGTTTGATATTTGTTACTAAAAACAGTTTAAAAAGTTGTCTTACCTTCTTTTTCATTTGAAGCTGGGTATTCACAAGTTGATTTGATATAGTTTTGCAATTCCGCAGTTTCCGCCGATATGTGACATATTTTAGATTTGGAGATTCTTTTATGATTCCTTCCATTCTGCTGCTGGTTTATTTGCAATTGTTTTTATTCCCACAACCCCAAAAAATGTAGGAGAAGGAAGGAAAGAAGAAATTTTAACAGATATCAAAATATTAAGAACCAGCTGCAAATATCAGAAGTATCATTTGTTCCGTTAAAAGATCTAAAATTTGCTATGAAGTCCATTTTGAAATCTTAGCTACCCAAACATGAAAACACTTACAGAATCATGGAATAATAAATCACAGGTGGTCATTCAGCCTGGATAGTGTGTTTCAGGAGCCAGTCACACCCGTAATCTAATAACATCAAATTCCATGGTCAAGCACAGGCAATGTAAGCCAGGTACTGGGGTCAGAATTTAGCTTGCAAGAAGCTGACCACAGCACCCTGGTCCAGAGCACTATGCAGGGATGGTGGTGGTGGGGATGTTTGGGCAGTGGAAGAGAAAGAAATATAGCAGTAATAGAGGACAGCAAAGTTAGGGGAATATATATTATTTCTGTAACAGAGTTCTGAAGTCCGTGTTGCCTACTTGTCCCCAAGATTCAGGACATCTCTTCTTGGCTAGAGAGGAACCTGGAGTTGGTATGGACAGATTCAGGTGATTTTCTCCGCTTGAGAATAACGACATAGGTAAGACTACAAAAAATGAGGGACAACAAGTAGTTTGTGGGTAATTTAAAAAGCAGAGCTACAGAAAAGGTAACAGTCTCCAGATAACTACATGAGCCATGTGAAAATTTGTGTACATAAAAAATGAGAAATGCATGACTCAAAGATTGGTGTCAGAGAAACAGGATCCAATTAAAAGGGTGGTGGGAAAAGAGATAACAAGGTGTAGAGCTGGATGAACACAGCAGGCCAAGCAGCATCATAGGAGCAGGAAGGCTGATGTTTCGGGCCTAGACCCTTCATCAGAAAAGAGAGTAATATTTGGTTAGGATGGGCTTCATTTGAAGCACACTGGGATCAGTATCCTGGCAAATTGCATAATCTGGGCTTTAAATTAATTTGTGGAGGAAGAGGGTTGAACTGAAGGGAAGTTTAAATGATGAAAGATACAAGTGGATATGCAGGGTATTGAAGAGCTGAATGATAATCAAAATGAGACAGGAGGGGTAGGAAATATATGAAAAGTGCAAAGGAAATTAGAACCAAAGTGCTGACGATAAAATGTCAAAGCTTAACGCTCCTTAACTGAATGCACACAGTACTTCGAACGAGATGGACGAGTTGACAGCACAAATAGAAAATAATTAATACAGCTTGAAAGCTATTATGAATATATGGTTGCTGGGTAATCAGACTAGGAACTCAATATCCAGGGATATTTGTTTTTTCTGGAAGAATAGGTATAAAGGAAAAAAAGAGTTGAGATAGTTTTGTTAGTAATGGAAGGTATCAGTGCAGTCAGTAGTTATAATCTGCATTTGGCTGGACAAACCAGATAGGCAAGAATAATATGGAAGCCTAATTTGTGAAGAGTATCAGAATCTGACTTTTAAGCAGATATTTTATAATGCTCAGCAAAAAAATTATTTCGGTCAAAAAGGACTTGATGAGAAGAACGAACCACCCATGGTTCACGAAGATGGTCAAGAGTTTCCAATCAAAAGCTAAGGCATACAACATGCAAAATCTATTGGTAGGCCAGAGGATTAGGAGTTTTTTAGCAATCAGAAAACTAAAACAAAACTGATAAAGAGGGAGAAAATTGAAGAAGAAAGTGAATTGGAAAGAAATAAAAACAGCAAGAACTTCTTTGGGTATATACAAGAAAAAGTAATGTTAGTGTGTAACTCTTGGAGAATGAAACTGGGAAACGGCAATAACGTAAACCAATATTTTGCATCGGTCTTCATGGAAGAGGATACTAAGATCCTAAATATAACTGATAAGCAACATTCTGATGGGGAGAAAGATCTTATAACTATCCCTATCGCAAAGGACAAAGTATTTGACAAACTAATGGGAATAAACGTAGACAAGTCACCAAGACTTCATGGCCTCCATCCAAGGCTTTCAAAAGAAGTGGTTGCAGAGACAGTGGAGGTGTTGGTCAATATATTCCAGAATTTACTGGCAAATTTATTTCTAAGTTGCGTGGGCAATTGATCAGCGGGTCCACACACAGCTATCACCATACTGATGTCATTCACAGTACTGACCTCCAGTTCCCAAAGGAGAAAAATTAGCGGGAACACTGCCCACTAGACTCCCAGAGGGTTCTAGGGGATTGGTAAACTGCTAATGTGACGCCCATGGTCTAGAAGGAGGCATAAGCAGGAAACTACAGGCTAGTTTAGCCTAATACCTGATGTTTGGAAAAATGTTAGAGATCATTATTAATGAAGAAATAGCAAGTCATTCAGAAAACATTAGTACAATCAGACAATCAACATGGTCTTGCGAAAGGGAAATCAAGTTTGACAAATTTCCTAGAGTTCTTTCAGGATGTAACAAGCAGAGATGACAAAGGGGAACCTTTAGATGTTCTATATTTGAAATTCCAGAAGGCATTTGATAAGTTCCCCATAAAAGGTTTTGCATAAGATAGGAACTTATGGCACTGAGGATAATGTATTAGCATGGATTGAGGATAGGTTAACACACAGAAGACAGAATCAGGATTAATGGGTCTTTTACAGGTTGGAAAGTCATAACTCATGGAATACCACAAAGATTAGTCCTACGGCCTCAATTATTTACTGTATATAGCAAACTTTGTTTTAACTGGCACCTTATGGACCTACACTCTCAATAAACTGGCAAAAATTATAAACTTCAAATACTAGAAGCTTACTATATTATGCTGATCTCAACGATATGAGTAGCCATGTCAGGGTGCAAGTGAGAAGGCTCTCTGCCAGTAAGTTTTATTTAAGGCAAAATTGCATTACTATTTAAGTGATTTATGCTTTAAATAAAGCATAACCAGTGGTGTGTGTATATCCCCCACATTACATTTATATTACTAGTGTGTGCACTTCTTGATCAATTGGAATATTTGATCAACCGTAAACACCTGGTCCCATAGATACCAGGTAATAAAAATGCTGCTGAGCATTAATGACTTGGAGAAGGGGATGGTGTGTAATGTATCCAAACTGGCTGACAGTACAAAAATTGGTGAGAGAGCATTTTGTGTTGAAGATACAGGAACCTGCATAGGAATATAGCTAGACTGAGTGAACGAGCAAGAACTTGAAAGGTGGAGTTTAATGTTGGAAAGTGCAAGTTTGTATCCTTCGGTTGTAAGAATCAAAAGGGAGACTATTATTAAAATGGAGAGAGACTCCAAAAAACTGCAGCACAGACAGATCTAGGGGTCATTATGCATGAAATACAATGTTAGCAGGCAGGTGCAGTAGGTAATTAAAAAGGCAATTGGAATTTTGGCCTTCATTGCTTGGGGTTTGGAGTTTGGAGTTAAAAATAGGGAATTCTTGTTACAATTGGAGACGGTATGGGTGAGGCCATACCTGGAATATTGTGTACAGTTTTGATCTCCATGTTTAAGAATGGCTATACTGCCATGGAAAGCAGTTCAAAAGAAATTCACTAGGCTGATTGGAGTGAATGTGTTGACTTATCAACGAAGATTCAGGCGTTTATTCATTAGAGCTTAGACGAATGATCTTATTGAAGCATTCAAAATTTTGAGACGGCTTGACCAGATAGATGTTTCCACTAGTAGGGCAATCTCAAACGAGGAAACATAGATTTAACAAATGTCTCTTTATTCTGCAGTTGAGGAATTTCTTCTCTAAAGGTAATGAGCATTTAGGGTGGCACAGTGGTTAGCACTGCTGCCTCACAGCACCAGGGACCCAGGTTCAATTCCACCCTCTGGCAACTGTCTGTGTGGAGTTTGCACATTCTCCCCATGTCTGCATGGGTTTCCTCCAGGTGCTCCGGTTTCCTCCTACAGTCCAAAGATGTGCAGGTTAGGTAGATTGGCCATGCTAAATTGCCTGTATGATCAGGGATGTGTAGATTAGGTGGGTTTGGATGGGTGCTCTCAGGGTCGGTGTGGACTTGTTGGGGCGAAGGGCCTGTTTCCACACCATAGGGATTCTATGATCTGGAATTCTCTATCTCAGAAAGCTGTGGAGATTAGATCACTAAATGTATTTCAAGGTGGTAAATAGATTTTTGAAACAACAGGGAGTTGAGGTCTATGATGAACTGGCATGATAGAGGAGTTGAGGCCTGGAGCAGACCAGCCATGATTTTGTTGAAGAAGAGGGCAAACATGAGAGGCCAAATGGACTACACCTGCTCCTATTTCTTATGATCTTAGCAAGTCTGTGCTGGCTCTTTTGAAGGGTAATCTAGTAGGTTCCAAACTCTGCTTTGTCCCAAATCCTGCAAGGTTTTCCTCTAAGTGTTCATCCAATTTCTGAATGCTACTGTTGAATCAATTTCCATGACCCAAACAGGTAGTGCAATCCAAATTCAAATCATACACTGAAAAGAAAAAATGCTTTCCCCAATACTGCCTCCAATTCTTTTGTTAACCAATTCATATCATACAAGAAATCATTTAAAACTATAATATCCATCATACCTCCAATTCAGCTCAAGTAATTAAGAAGCAAAAACCACTTTTTACAGAAATATTTTGTTTGAATTCAGATAACATGTAATAGATATTCCAAGAGTTATTCAGGCTAGATTTGGAAAACAGGAACATTCCAATAAATCCTCTCTCTTAAAATGTTAAAGATGAAGCTATTATGAAGTAAAACCACAGAATCAAAATATATTCCATTTTTTCCTCAAAGGCCAGGTTTTCTTCCATTCTTTTAAAAAGCTTTGCCCCTTCCCTCCTCAATGGATATTCATGTACATCAGTCCAGCTTTCTAGTGCCTTAATGAAAAATAAAACTGGAAAAATATTCTTTGCACAAGTTATCAAATTTAAAATCTCAGGTCTGTAAAAAGTACCCTGGTGTACAAAAAAAAAACTCCTTCTTTCTGGCTACAGTTGCTGGTTTTGAGATGTAAAATGTTGTGTCACTGATATGACTTTTGTGGAAGTTACCTTTGAATTAACAGATACTCATGTGCTGTCAGGATGATTTTAAATATTTTGCAAAGGTTTCAACTTACTAAATAAGCCAGGGCAGCATGTGTCAAATTGAAGAATCTATTTGGACCCAGGTGATGAAGGTTTCAATTTCAAGCCACTACCCTGCATGGTATGTGCACGATTACTATACCAGCAGTTATTCACAGGTGTTTTAATATGTATATCGTCTATAATTTTTAGCCATGCAAATGAACTAAACCAACTCCAATTCTATCGTAATCTTCCTCAATAGCAGACTGCAATGAACTTTTATAAAGCTTGCCTGCGATTTTTGCAGTATGAATGCTACCCTCCGCTATAATAATCAGGTTAGAGATTTCCCCCTTTTGACAGAGCTGGCATATAATTGTATCCACCGGTGGTATGTCTCCGGAAATTGTGGACCACAATCACTAACTATTATCCATTAGTTTAAATAAATGGCTAAGTCATAGTCAAAATGCTCAATTTCCTAAAATCTGTTACTGGTTGACATATTACAGCACACCCTTGGGCGAAGCCAAGCTGGATATCTCTCTCACATATATGTGCTGCCATACTCCTTTTATGTTCCGGTAGCAATTTTTTTCCTACACAATAACAGAAAATGTGTGAAAAATTGGTCTGAGGTTTCTTGTTTGTATCTGTGGATGTGCTAAAAGATCACATCAGAAATTGTTCAAAATACATAATATACATTCTTAGTTACCTACATTCCCACTGAAATTCTGTCAAATATCCCAGAAGAACATTATCATTTTCTCACTGGAGGACAAACAAGATAACAATATGTACCTAGTAACAGGAACAAAATAATTTTCTTTGTCTTGCGTAAACATGCAGTTTTCCTGACATTCATCTTCTGTGGAAATGGAGCTATGGTTTTTATCATGTAAAACTCCTCGGCCTCTGAATACATAAGAATGTTTTCTCTTGTGACTTTTGCTACTTGTTAGCTTTCCAACATTTTTCTTTGCTGTCGCTTTAGCATTTGAAACATTCGGCAATACTTTCTGTTGCCTGGAAAAAGATGAGAATATAAGATTTGAAAAGATATGAGAGAGTTTTATATAACATGCTGATTAAAGAAAGTAAATATCAGTATTTTATGTTCAAAAAAAAAATTTGCTCAGGCCTTGAAATTTCACAAATAACTCCATACACAAAAATATTCTAAAACCTGATCTAAATGTTCACTGTGTACCTTTCCTACCTTCTCCAATATTTCATTGCCTGCAATCAAACTGCCTAACAAAGCATGCGTAAACTAAAATAAAGCATTCAAAAAAAGCTCTAAATGTTGGCCTTGTTCCGTGCCAAAACTTTCAATTTTTTAAGTGGGTATTCAGAACTGTATAATGTACCATAATATTCTAAATGTGAAGTTCAATTGAAACTGAAGCTAAAATTATATTATCACTTGATTAAACAGTGCGTCCCCATCACGGTTGTAGAAACATTATGCAGTCAGTGTGTCTCTTACAATTCCTGGTTTTACACTAAATATTCTACTGGAGTTCAGCATCACTGACTACTCTTAAAAGGGTATGGTGGCAGCTTAAAATTTAGAATCAAAATTAAAACTAAAACTATAATAAACCAACTAGTAATTGCAGCACCAATGAAGAACTAGGATATGAATAATGAAGTCACCCTACAGCATGAAGCTAGAGATCTGACTTCAAGCAGCCCTTGTGCAGTAAGGACAACCAGTTACGCTTGCATCAAGGGTATAAACGCAAGTTGAAGGCCACTACACTCAGGTCGAGAAAGACTGCTTGACAATTGTCTTTGCTTGTGAACATTTTCATCAACACCTACTCGGAAAAAATCAATCTGACCGTTGAATTCAACTACAAACACAACTATAAGTCTAATGATGACCCATAGTCTTATTGTCAATTGTTGTAACAACCTAGCTGGTTCACTAATGTCCACTAGGGAAAGAAATCAGTCATCCTTAACTGGTTTGGCCTATATGTGACTCCAGACCCAAAGCAATGTGGTTGGCTATTAACTGTCCTCTGAAAGGGCCTAGCAAGCCAGCCAGTCACTCAGTCATATCAAACCTCTAAAAAGTCTAAAGAAAAGCATTGAACCTGGACAGACAACGTGGCATCAACTTAGGAACCAGCAACAACTATGGCAAGGTCAACCCTATCATCACTGCAGTCTTCCTTTCTAAGATGTGCAGGCTAGTGCCAAAATTGGGAAGACAATCTTGTGAGACAGCCTGACACAATCGTACTCATAGAATAATACGTTACACACAAAATCCCAGACAAGACCATCACTAGATATGTTCTGTCCCACAGGCAAGACAGACTTAGCAGAGGTGGTGCCACAGTGATTAACAGTCCAGAGGGAGTTGCCTTGGGAGTCTTCAGCATTGACTCCGGACCTCATCTAGTCTTATGGCATCAGGTCAAACATGGACACAGAAATGTCCTGCCGATTACTACCTACTACACCCTGCCTCACCAATGAAAGTTCCTTCATACTAACCATCATTTGAAAGAAGCACTGAGGATGGCAAGGCCACAAAATGTAATCTGGATTGGGAACTTGAATCACCAAGAAAGGCTCAGTAACACCACGAATGGCTGAGCTGGTCAAGTCCTAAAGGACTTGGCTGCTGGACAGAATCTGCAGCAGGTAGTAAATGGGAAACAAAAGGGAAAAACATACTTTACCTCATACTCACCAACCTGCCTGTCACAGATGTAAATGTCGATATTGTCCTTGTGGACTCCTGTCTTCACATTGAGGAAACTCTTCTTGTGCTCAATGGATTGGATTTCAAACAGATGAAGCAACTCAAGACAGGCATCCATATGCCACTGTGTGCCATCAGCAACCACCCCATGCCCTGACATATGTCCAGCTCTACCATTACTATCAAGCCAGAGGATCAACCCTGGTTCAATCAGGAGTGCAGGAAGGCTGGCCAAGCACAACACCAGGCCTGCCAAAAAAATGAATTGGCAACCTAGTAAAGCAAGCAGCTGACTAGTTGCATGCCCAATGGCACAAGTAGCAAGTGATAGAAGAAAGTAATTCCACAAAAACAGGCAAGATCCAAGCTCTGCAGTCCTGTCACAGCCAGTCATGAATGCGAGTGAACAATTAAACAACTCACCCAAGGAGGCAACTCCAGAAATATACATCTATCCTCAATGATGGAGGGAGCCCATAAAATCAGTGCTAAAGATCAGGCTAAAAAACTTGCAATAAGTGCTGCGTGGATGATCCATCTCAGCATTACAGTATTCGGAGGCTGAGGAGTGATGTTATAGAGGTTTATAAAATCATGGCTGACCACGGATAGGGTGAAGAGTCAAAATCTTTTTTGGAGAAAAGGGGATTCAAAAACTAGAGGCCATAGGTTTAGGGTGAGAGAGGAAAAATATTTTTAAAAAAAAAAGACCCGAGGGTCAACTTGTTGAATGACGATTTATTGTCATTTGTACTCTACAATGAACAACACAGTAAAAATAGCAAAAAGTTTCAACCGTTCCGTTTGAATATTTAAAGAATAAGAAGATAAACCTGAAAGAGTCCAGAGACAGTAAGAACTGCAGATGTTGGAGTCAGAGATAACACAGTGTGGAGCTGGAGGAACACAGCAGGCCAGGCAGCATCAGAGGAGCAGGAAAATTGAAACCTGAAGAAGGTCCCGATCCGAAACTTCAACTTTCCTGCTCCTCTGATGCTGCCTGGCCTGCTGTGTTCGTCCGGCTCCACACGTTGTCTACAAGCTGAAAGAGTTCATCTTTGTTCTGCTACCTCCATCACGAGTCCTGAGCCAGCCGAACAATGACACCTGCGTTGTCACTCCTCCACCTCCTGAGCCAGACCCACCAATGTCAGGGGTGCCACTCTTCAGGTGCCATCTCTTGGTCACTGGGCCCACTTCATCACAGGCCACCAATGCTAGGTCCTGTGCTGGATCCACATTCACCCCACAACAGGAGCTCCCAGCTCCACTACCGCCACCTCGCCAATAACCAGGAGACACTGGCTCTGGGCCTATCACAACCAGGAGCTGCTGCCACCACCACCATGTCAATAACTAGAAGTCTCCAGTCTGGGCCTACCACAAACAGGAGCCCCTGGTTCTGCTAAAACCAAAACCTCATTGATGCCTGGAGTTCCCACTCTGGGCCTACCACAACCAGGAGTCTTCAGCTCCGCTGCCAGGCCAGACTGCTACCTTGCCAAAAGTCCCGCTCTAGCCACTCTTCCATGACGTCACCTTCTCTGCCGCTGCCGATAGAAAGAAAAGGGCTCAGTGGTTAGCACTTCTGCGTCACAGTGCCAGGGACCCGGGTTCGATTCCACCCTCGGGCGACTGCCTGTGTGGAGTTTGCACATTTCCCCCTGTGTCTGCGTGGGTTTCCTCCTGGTGCTCCGGTTTCCTCCCACAATCCAAAGCTGTGCAGGCTAGGTGAATTGGCCATGCTAAATTGCCCATAGTAATCAGGGATGTGTAGCTTAGGTGGGTTATAGGGGGATGGGTCTGGCTGGGATGCTCCGAGGATCGGTGTGGACTTGTCGGGCTGAAGAGCCTGTTTCCATACTGTAGGGATTCTATGAAAATGAAGAAAAAGAAAGATGACAAAAAGGGTAAGGAAAGATGGGAGGAATTGGCCGCCTGGAGCAGACAGGCCCAGGAATCAGAACGCTGCTTACCTGGCCAGTGCCGCCATTTTGGCAGGTGCTGCATATATGGAACGAGCTGCTAGAGGAAATGGTGGATGTCGGTATAATTACAACATTTATAAGGCACTTGGATGGATACTTGAATAAGAAGCGTTTAGAGGGATATGGGCCAGATGCTGGCAAATGGGACTCGATCAGTTTAGGATATCTGGTCAGCATGGACGAATTGGTCCGAAGGGTCTGTTTCCATGCTGTATAACTCTATGACTCTATTCCACCACATCATGGTGCCAGTCTTCAGTCAATGTGATCCCTACCATGTTGAATAAAGAAACAGCTAAAGGCACAAAATACTGCAAAGGTTAGAGCACCTGACAATACCATGAAGTCTTGTGCGCAAGAATGTCCCGCACCCCTAGTCAAGCTGTCACACCAAAACTACAGCATTGTCAAAGTAGTAAATTGCCCAGCTATATCCTGTACACAAAAAGCAGGACAAACCAAACTGGTTAATTAGTGCCTCATCAGCCTACTTTACATCATCAGTAATGTAAACAGAAATTGTCACCAGCACAAATAAACAGCACTTGCTTAGTATTAACCTGCTCACTGACACTCAGTTTGGGTTCTGCCAGGCCATCAATTCACAAGTGAAGAATTCAGCCACTTCACAAAAGACTAGGAAATAGAACACTACACGTCATTACCACACTGTCCCCAATCAAATGAAAAGGCTTAGGCAGCAGAGAAAATCAAAAGAGCCAGACAGAAATAGATTATGTCCAACTTTGACGTATAAAAGGCAATCCTCGAGTGGAGAAACACAACTATTGCAACTGTGGAAAATATTGATATTGCAGCGTATCCAAACCACATTTTCAATAGCCGTAAAGCACTGAATTGGGAAATGATAACAGGCATGAGTAACAAAATCAAAATGAAATGGCAGAAAGCCATATTTCTCTTCAACAAAACTGACAAATCATTGTTAGAGTTGAGTATTGGCAAGCGAATCAACAAACAAATCTTGAAAACTCAACAGTCAACCCAAGTCAACAACTCAGGACCCCATCTAGGGCAAATCAGGACTCTGCCCCCTCAGCTCTCTGTGGCAAGAATTTCCAAAAAAGTGACAACCCTTTGAAAGAAGAAATTCCTTCTCATCTTAGTCTTAAATTGACTTAAGTTAGTCTTAAAATTCTGAGATGATGCCCTCTGGTCCTAAATTCTCCCATCCTCTCAGCATGTACTCTGTCAAGTCCCTTAAGGATACTGTCCATTTAAGTGAGATCACCTCTCATTCTTCTAGAATCCAATGAGTCCCAACCTGTTTAACCTTTGCTCATAAGACAATTCCTCCACACAGGGATCATCCTAGTGACCCTTCTCTGAACTGCCTGAAATGAAAGGGAATCTTTTCTTAAATAAGAGGACCAAAACTGCTCACAGTATTCTGTACAGCTTGCTACTTCATTCTGATGTTACCTCCTGGTTTCCATACCCTGCACAATGTAATTAGCAAGGTAGGCTCCTTCGATACCAGGGTGATCTCAATGCCCCATGTATCTAAAGGCCTCTCCATTTTTTTTCCAGGCATGCATACAATCTGCTTTATCCTATTGCTTCTACAGTGTTGCTGCACTTTAGCTTTCCCGGATACCCTTAACAGTACAGTGGAAACTATAGACTTCAGTGGTTTGGCTCATGATTATAATTGACAAGACACTGCGGCGAATTATCTTCTCACTTTTAATTGACTTAGCACATAGCGCAATCCAAAAATTACCACTTCTGAGGTCTTGATCGCTCATTCCCTACCTAGCTGCCTGAACGCTGATTGCAGGACTACATCCTCCCATCTGTATATGATGCTGATACAGATGTGGACCACATCTAGTGGCTGTTCACCTCCCCCTTCCTCCGCGTGATCTGCAACCATTCAGTGATATCCTCGACCGGGGCAGACCCGGCAGAAACGCCTGCCTAGCCAAACTCCTATCGCGATTCCACGCACGTCCATGAGGATCACGACTCTCCACTCTTCCCAATGAAAAGCAAATGACAGCTCGTGCACCTTTTCTTTTTGGATTTGAAGGACGGGTTACTGCTGCTGCTGCTGGAATGGCCACTGTTATCGATTGAGTCTGACGACGAGAAAAGATGTTCTCTGCCCGTCTCGGGACTCAACCACTTGGGTGCTTTTACGGTCCGCTGTCTGTATTTCCCGTAAGTCCGTACCAAAGCCGGGCGGCCACCGGCCTGAGTCTTCATCATCCCGGGCGAGCAGCCGAAAGCCAGAAGCTACGCTCGAGCTCGCGATCGACTAACCGCCTCGCCGTTTGAATTTCCTCTCCCCTGATTGGACGGCCCGGTGGCAACGCTGCGTGTTAATTGGCTCTCACTTTCGGATGTGCGTCAGAGACGGATGGTTGGTGGTGTGTTGTAGCTAGAGGGCATGGCGGAGCGCGGTGGGTGGAGTCTTTTTCTGCTCTGTGCAAGGGTCACTCGACCCGAAACGTTAACTCTGTTTGTTTATCTTCGACCGATGTAGCTAGACCTGCTTAGCTTTTCCAGAAATTTCTGTGGCTTTCTTTGTACTTTTTCCATAACCTGGGTGTTGGGAGTTTGCCTAGGTGACCATTTCATAACTGGAATACGATATTTGTTGTTCCAGTATTGTTTATTTGTGTTGTTCCTTTCTGTGTACAGTTACGTACGCAAAATTAGTAGGATTTTTACGGAAAGTACAACGCGGAGTTAGTTATGTGCCGGAAGTTGCTGTCCTGATTGGCAAGGGGCTTGGTAAACTTTTTTAACAACTCATGGAGAGTTTATAAGTGTTGAAGCAGAATCGGGCCATTCGGCCCAACGAGTTTGCAGTGCCATTTGTTCGTGGCTGACTTAGAATCAAACAATCTCTAAAGTGTGGAACAGGCCATTCAGCCCATCGAGTCCATTCCGACCCTCCAAAGAGGATCCTAACCAGACCCACCCTCCTTCCCTATTCCTGTAACCCTGCACCTCCCTGCATACTATGGGGAATTTAGCATGTTCAGTCTACCTAACTGCACATCTTTGAGCCTATGTTTCTCAACTCCATTCTCTTACCTTCTCCAGGTAACCCTTGACTCCTCCCCACCTTAGTAATCAACAAACCTATCTATCTCTGCCTTAAGTATAGTCAGTGAGCCTTTTGCAGCACATCTTTCTGAGTTCCCACAGATTAACCACCCTCTGGCAATAGAAATTCCTCCTCATCTCAGTTCTAAAGGATCATCCCTTCACTGAGGTTGTGCCCTTAGGTTGTAGTGCCTCTTGGTGGAAACCTCTATGCCCACTCTATCCAGGTCTCTCAGTATTCTGTAAGTTTCATTTAGATCCCCCCCCACCCCATTTCTGATCACTACCAATCCCGTTACAATCTCCTCAGCTTTTTCCTTCAGAACCCTGGAGTGTAACCCAGTGTTGTCTCCTTTGTGATGGCAACTACACTCATCTCTGCCCACTGACTCATGAAGTTCTGGTATGCTGCTGGTGTCTTCTACTGTGAAAACTGATGCAAAGTGGCGTAGGGGGAGCTGCAGATAAAGAGGCAGGGAAGTAGCAGAATGGTGGTGTTAGGTGGTCACTGGTAGTAGGTATGACCAGCTCCCCCTACTCCTACATTCAGTCCTGAAGAAGGGTAATACCCGAAACATTGACTTCTCCTTTTCTCCAGATGCTGCCTGGCTTGCTGTGTTCTTCCAGCCTTCTGTTTCTCGACCTTCTCCCTATCCATGCCCTCATGTCCCCTTCGTAGCCTTCTCTGCTCTAAGGGAAACAACCCCAGCCTATACAATCTCCCTACAGTCCAGGCAACATCCTCCTGAATCTCTTCTGCACTTTCTCTCTTGCAGTTACATCCTTCCTATAGTGTGGTAACCAAAACTACCCACAGTACTCTAACTGTAGCATAATAGCATATAGAACTCCATTATAACCAACTTGCTTTTGTAGTCAGTGCCTTGACAAATAAAGGCAAAAATCCCACCTGCTGCCTTAACCAACTTATCTACGTGTCCTGCTGCCTTCAGGGACCTCAAGACATGTGTACCAAGGTCCCTCCAATCCTCTGTAATTCCTGGGATCCTACCTTTCAATATGCACTCCCTTGCTTTGTTAGTTCTCAAAATGCATCACCCCAGATGTTGCCAGCTGTGGAAGGTTTGAGTTATAAAGAAGAAAGGCTGGGATTTTTTTCACTGGAGCATAGGTGGTTGAGAGGTGACCTGATAGAAGCTCATAAAATAATGAGGGAAATAGATCGAGTTCATGATACTTGTCTTTTCCCTAGGATGGGGGATTTCAAGACCAGGGGACACATTTAAGGTGAGAGGAGAGAGATTTAAAAAAGACATGAGGGGCAATTTTTTTTACACAGAGTGGTTCATATGTGGAATGAACTTCCTGAGGAAGTGGTAGATGTGGGAACAATTACAACATTTTAAAAGACATTTGGATAAGTACACAAATAGGAAAAGTTTGGAAGTATAAGGGCCAGGAGCAGGCAGGTGGGACTACTTTAGTTTTGGATTATGTTCGGCATGGACTGGTTGGACTGACGTGTTTGCTTCCGTGCTGTATGACTCTGATTATGACAGTGACCCTCACTTTTCAGCATTAAATTCAATTTGATACTACTTTACTCATCTGACCCAATCCGTTTATACTGTCTTGTAGTCTCAGGCTTTCCTCTTCGCTACCTGCCACACTGCCAATTTTAATGTCACCTGTAAACTTACTGACCATTCATGTCTAGATCATTTATGCACACTACAAGCTGCAAGGGACCCAGCCACATCCCCTCTAATTTTCTTTTTGGCTATGTGGTCTCCAATGTTCGGAAACCATCAGTTAATACTATGATTGCTATGGAGGACCTTACCATGCAGCTTAGTGGGAACATTGGATGCAGCACCAAACCCTGTGGGATGCCACTGGATGCAGGCTTCCAGTCAGCAAAACACCCTTTGACCATCACCCTCTGTTTCCTGCCAGTAAGCCAGTTTTGGATTCAGTTTGCCAGTTTGTCTGGGATCCTATGAGCTCTTAGCTTCTTAACAAGTCTGCCATGCCATAATGAAGGAAATGCCCTTAAAATGCTTTCAGTTGTAAAATTCTAAGACAGGAATAGGCAGGATGGATGCAGGAAATACATTCGAGAAGGTGGAGGAGTCCAAGACAGGGTAAACTACTTAAGACTGAGATAAGAAATTTCTTCACCCAGAATGAAGGTGGCGAAGCTGTGGAATTTGCTACCACAGAAAATAGTCAAGGCCAAGACATTGTATGGTTTTAAGAAGTTAGATATAGCACTTGGGGTGAAAGGGATCAGAGGATATGGGGGAAAAGCAGGAGCAGGCTATTGAGTTAGATGATCAACCATAATCATAATGAATGGCAGAGCAGGATCAGATGGCTGAATGGCCCACTTCTGCTCCTATTTTCTATGTTTCTATTATATTTAACATTTATTCTTTTATTGTAAATGCTGCTTTTTATTTTTCTGTATTTTTGTTTGTGAACCAAAATAGTAAAAAAGACTTTTAGTAACCAAAGGATCATCTCCACAAATGCTGTGGACAGGGACTATTGAACTGCTTTCCCAGTCTTCTCCTCTGCCCCCCAACACCCATGTTTATTTGTGTTTGTACGTAACATTTTATAAGGGGGTTAGTGTTTAAACCAGTGGAGTTATATGTCGACATTTCATAATTATTTACCTGTAATCAGGATCTCCTTTTCTGTAATAAATGATAATTATTTTTAAATAAGAAAGCTGGTCCATGCTTTGTCAACCTGGGTCTAAAAGACAGGTAAATTGAGGAATTTTGCGTATTTTTATAAAGAATCTTTAACTTTCATGACAACTCCAGGAACACCAGCCCTTGATTTCCAGAGTGCTACCCCAGTGAGGTACCAATCTGGGGACCTGGGTTCGAATCCCACCATAGAAGGAATTTGAATTCAATAAATATCTGGAATTAAGATTCTTATGATAACAATGAATCCATTGCCGATTGTTGGAAAAACACATCTGGTTCACTGATGGCCCTTAGGGAAGGAAACTGCCATCCTTACCTGGTATGGCCCATATGTGACTCCAGACCCACAGCAATGTGGTTGACTCATAATTGCCCTCTGGGCAATCAGGGATGGGCAGTGAATGTTTGCCTAGCCAGTGACGCCCTCATCCTGTGAATGACTTTTTTAAAAATTTCCCACTACCATTGAGCAATTGCACCTACATTGGCCTCTGTTCCCCAATCTTTGGATTGAAAATTCTCATGCTTCTATTTAAACATGTTCATGGCCCAGCCCTTACAAATTTTTGTAATTTAATCCACCAAATGCCCCTCCAATTCTCCTTTCTCCTCCACCAGCATTTTCATTGCCTTTTCACAGTGTTCACGTGAGTACATGTGACAATAAACCTAATTGAATTAAGTCAATTCATGCACAATTGATGATTGTGCCTTCACATAAAAAGTAAATTTACCATAGTCATACTAGACCACAGGCTGCTGTCTTAGGACAGAGACAACTGGTGGTCACCATGCCTTAGGCAAGAGGAAAGTTGAGAAGGAGAATCCTTTGTTGTAACCTCAGCAGGTGCAAGAATTGAATCCATATAGTTGGCATCAGCGCTTCACAAACTGTTCATCCAGACGACTGAGCTAACTAACCCACTTCTTGCCTTCAAATATCTAGGCCCTGTACATACAGCAGAAGAACTTAAGAAAAGAATTCATATCTCATTTCAAGGCCTTGCTTAAATTCTATGCCTTTCACCAAGCTTATACTCGCTCCTTTGTCTCAGAACACTTTTGTCTAATTACATCTCTGAAATTCCATTTTTCAACAAGAAATCTGCTGCATAAATGCAAGTCGTTGAAAGAAAAAAGTTGCAGTACTGTTCAGATTTCTGTGAACCCAAAAGCATTTACTGCCAATGAATACTTCCCATTATAATATGGGGAAATGCACCGTTTTCAAAAACACAGATGCCACAAATCTTAACGGCATACTTGAACATTTAATACTGTTTTGAAATCGTATAATTCCCAACCTAAATCATTGTGGGAATGCCATCACTACAATTCAAGGAAATGATCCCCATTGTCACTGACTTAGGGTAATTAAGGATTGACTGTAAGGCCAGACTTCCAATGGCATCCATATTTCATGTACAGTTAGCCATTACTTAAAATTATAGTTATGTTCTTTAAAATCATGAACATAAGTGAAACTACTTGAAAATGGAATTAGGTTCTATAGGGTCTTCGTTGTATGAAAAAAATTCAAAATATTAGGCTTTGTAGGTTTAGATATTTTATGTTAAGTTCCTATA